AGTTGTCTAGTAAATTCGAGATGAAGGATCTTGGTGCAGCGAAGCAGATTCTTGGGATGAGGATTAGCAGAGATAAACATAAAGGTATTTTGCAGTTGTCTCAGGTTGAGTACATTGAATGGGTTCTGACGAGGTTCAACATGAATAATGCTAAGGTAGTGAGTACTCCCTTAGCTAATCACTTCCGCTTATCTCAAGATCAGTGTCCGAAGACAGAAGATGAGAAAAATTTCATGGGTAAAATTCCATATGCCTCAGCCATTGGAAGTTTGATGTATGTCATGGTGTGCACAAGACCAGACATTGCATATGCAGTGGGAGTAATAAGCAGGTTCATGAAGGATCTGGGCAAGCTACATTGGGAAGCAGTAAAGTGGATATTGAGATATCTACGGGGTACCACGGACAAATGTTTATGTTTCAGAAGGGATGAAGTGAAGCTACATGGTTATGTAGATTCAGACTTTACTGGTGAGGTGGACCACAGAAGAAGTACTACCGGGTATGTGTTCATGGTGGGTACAACTGCAGTTAGTTGGGTTTAGCAAATATAGAGGATTGTAACGTTATCTACTACAGAGGCAGAGTATGTGGCGATGACAGAGGCCAGCAAGGAGATGATTTGGTTACAAGGTTTGTTAACAGAGTTGGGATTTGAATAAGTGAAAAATGTTTTGCGCAGTGATAGTCAGAATGCGATACATCTGGCAAAGAATTTAGTATTTCATTCAAGGACCAAACATATAGGACTTCGGTATCACTTTATCAGATCTTTGTTAGAAGATGGGGTGTTGATACTTGAGAAAAAACTTGACACCAAGAATCCAGCTGACATATTGACTAAGACAGTGACCATGGAGAAATTGAAGTTGTGCGCAACTTCAGTTGGTCTTCTAACTTGAAGACAGAAAGAAGCGCACCGACATGTATGGGACATGCATGAAAAGAAGATGGAATGAGTTTATAAGTGCTCTAGACTCAAAGTGGGAGATTGTTGTGGTTTTGTGGAGTCTGATTAGGTGGAAGATTTTTAGGAAGATTTAATTATATGGAAACTTCAAGAGTACTGAATTTTAGGGAAAATTCAGTTTCATAATCTGTTAGGGAAAATTCAGTTTCCTAATCTGATTTGACTTCCTTATTGGTTTAAGGAAAATTCCGTTTCCTGATCTGATTTAATTTCCTTATTAGTTTTGGATTCTACAAAAGGCAAGTTCTTGTAGGACAAGTTTTGGACTCTATAAATAGGGGTGAAAATTATAGATAAATTTGTGCCAATACAAGAGAGAGCAATTGAGAGAGATTGAGAAAGAACTCTCCTTGTAATTCTTCATCTTTTTCATAGTGATTTTGTTCGGTGTGCTCCATGGACGTAGCCCTAAGATTTTGGTGAACCATATATATCTTGTGTTCTTATGTGTGATTTTTTTTTTATTCTTCGTGATTGCTTGTTTATTTCTTGAATAATGTTGTTTATTTTGCGTTTCTGCCACAACAACTGATATCAAATCCGGTTGATTGTGTAGTGCAACTCTAACAATATGAACCAAGTTGGGTGTGCAGAGTTGGGTCTATGTCTCCCTCGGGCCACTTTGTTATTGTACATGTTTGGCCAAACCCAATGGATGGTATTCTGCATCAATTTCATATGGATCAACTTCGAATCTTCATATGCAGTGAGAAAAAATTTGTGTTTATTGTACTGTACAACTTTTGTTCTTTGTTCAGGATGCTTGTAATTTTGGTTATATGTAATATATAATCTTTTTATGATTGTCAGGGGGAAAAAAAAAAAACTCAGCCTTCTCCCGGAAATGCTTTATCATTGCTTTGAACTCATCAAGTCGAGTGACCATTGACTACAAGAGAGTGTATTCACTGATAGTATAACATTGCTTCGAGCTCGTCAAGTCGAGTGGCCATTGACTACAAGAGAGTGTATTCATTGACAGTATATCATCACTTTGAGCTCATCAAGTCGAGTGGCCATTGACTACAAGAAAGTGTATTCATTGATAGTCAAACATCGCTTTGAGTTCATCAAGTCGAGTGACAATGTGAGGCAAATGTTGTCAATTTTTTTTTTTTTTATTTTTTTTTAATAAGGTGGAGGCAAATGTTGTCATTTATCTCACTGTTAATATAAAATATAATATTTAGACTCAGTTTGTTTTGATAATTTTTATTTTTTTATGCTTGATAGAGGTCTAAGTCGAGGTTGAAGTCAAGTCCTTCGGATGCCTCATATAAAATAACTTATGAAAAATTTGTTGGATAAGTTTATTTGTTAAGTTTTAAAATTTTACAACAATCAAACACCAAAAAATAAAAATATATTTTTAAATAAATATTTTACATCTAGACAAATGGATAATTATAAATTTTAGCACTTTGCTGAGGGTTCATAATTTTGGGATTATAGAAGCTTTGGTTCTAGAGGAATGCTAGTTACAGTTGCAACTGTAGAAGAACAATCGCACCTCTGATTGGTTGAAAAACCAATCATAAAAGGTATATTTAATGCATCTTTTTATTTTCATGGAACTTTAAAACTTAACATTTGATGACAAAATTAGCCTTTAAACTTAATATTTTCCTCTCATGCCATACACATATATAATGTTCCTTCTTTAATTTGTTACATATATATTATTACCTTCATTCTTGCATTTATTTATTTTTATTTATTTAATTTTTTTAATGGTTCTTAACTGTTTATTCATATTGGTAAAAAAACAAAAAAAAAAAACCGTCTATTCATACATACACATATACATATATATATATATATATATAAACTCATGTGAATGGATTATTTCCTTTCCTTTTTTTATTTTTATTTTTATTTCCTTTCCTTTGTTTATGTATGTAATATATATCTAAACACATATATAGTTAACGATATATTAAACCATTCTCATTTCTCTTGTACACATTAACTAAAACTCAAATTTCACAACACTTCAATTAAAACTTAATAATAGTGAAAACTAAAGATACATATATGTAAATATATACAAACGGGAAAGAAAATAAAGACTAAGAATTTTAAAGGTTAATTTGGTCATCAAATGTTAAGTTTTAAAGTTTCGTGAAAAATAAGAAAGATTTATTAATTATACCTTTTTATGATTAATTTTTTAACCAATTAGATGCGCAACTGTCCTTCTACAATCACATGCACGACTGAAACTAACAGTCCTCTTGATTCTAATGAAGGGACTGAAATTGTTTCTTTAGTGAGATACTCCTCCGACCAATGTTGAAGGTAATTGGCAATGACCCATGGTTTTAGACCTCCCATCAATTTAGGAGTATCCCTTGTTAGGCATTAAAGTCTAAAGATGGTGGAGATTGTGAGGTGGAGATGTGGTCCACTTGGTTAATTCAATGTTAGTGTCACTATTTCATAAATAATAATAATATATCTTAGCACTTAAACAATCTTGTTTCTTATTTGTACTTTGAGAGTTTTTGTCTACATTGTACTTATATCCATACAAGGACACAATTTCACTTAATAACTTAAACTTTAAGTTAAACGATTAGCTTAACACGTCAAGTCCCGAATATAGTTACAAAAAAAAGAAAAAGAAAAAGAAAAGGCATGCAATATATCTATATTTTTTAAAAAGGTAAATTACACTCACACCCCCTTCAGGTTTGGGTCAACGCTACTCAGCGGACATTCAATGCACTAGTTTACATTGACATTCCCTGAGGTTTCAAAATCTTGAATGCACACCCCTTCCCAAGCTAAAAAAGACTTAAATACCCTTTAATTAGTGTCAACAATTCATTTTTAATTATAAAATTACCTTAATGCCCTTTACCCATTAATCACCCTTCTTTCGTCCCCTATTCCCAAACCCAGATCCCTATCATTTTCTCTCTTTGCACCCACCGCTCCATCTCCTCAACCATAACCGCCGCCATCATATCCCTCCTTAACCACATCCGCAGCCACCATCGACCTCGATCTGAATCTTTTGCAGGATATATATATGTATATATACGTGTATGCGTGTGTGTGTTTTGGGACCCCGATCTAAATCTTCAAAGCGCCGAGGACATCTCGATCACCACCGTCGTCGAAGAGAAGAAGATGTTGCCCTTGTAATTGATGGCGTCGAGCGATGGTAGTTGGTGACTGTTGTAGCGATGGCAGATTTGGCGATCTTGGCTTGGTCGGAGTTGGTGACTTCAACAATTGCTTCGCCGCGAAGTTGGGGTGGTGTGTGTATGGGTGTGGCGGTGGTTGCAGTGGGTATTGTGTGGCAGTGGTTGTGGCGGTGAGTGTTGTTGCGGCGACGGCTACAGTGGGTATGGCGATGCGCAGTTGAGGCAGTGGCAGTGGCGTTGGTGGTATGGTTTTCTTGGTGGTGGTTGTGGTGGTGTGTGAGGTCAGAGTTCGGTTCGCCATTATAGAGTTCTTGGTGGTTGTGGCGGTGTGTGTTTGTGTGTGGGTGTGGCGGTGGCCAAGAGGGGATGACTGTGGCGGTGCTTCAAAGGAGATAATAGGGTAATTTTTGTCAATTACAATGTCGAATATGTTTCTAGGGGTAAATATGACTTTTGAAACTTCAGAGGTGTCAATGTAAATTAGTGTGTTGATCGTCCGCTAAGTGACGTTGACCCCAACCTCAAGGGGTGTGAGTATAATTTACTGTTTAAAAAAAAAATGTATATATATAATGTAAATAGTTTCGTGCCACATGTTAAATTATCTTAATAGAACTATAATCAACTTCTCTCTCTTCTTCAAGAATTATAATTATATATTTTTCTATCATGTACAGAAATTCAAATTTGTACTCTGGATCTTCAATTTTATAAAATGAAAAAGTATCATTGGACCGTTGTTTTGTGAATTATTTGTCAAGTAAAAAAATAAATAAATAAAAAGAAAAAAAGATAAAACACGTGTTAAATGGATGAACCAGTGGTTCTCTTCGCTTGTGAACTGCGAACCGCGAGCTTTGGAAGGACTGGTTCACAGGTTTTTTGGTATTTCGGTTCAGTCAACGAAAAATGAAAAAAAATATATATACACACACATTACACACCGCTCATAAATGTAAATACTCGCACAGGTGAACAGGTTATCTTCGATGGCGTCACTTCCTAGTTCCTCTCTCACTCTTACTCCTCACGATAAGGTAAATTTATCAACCATCATCTTTGATATTGTTGATTTGTTATATATGATATAAAGATTAAAACTTTATTCTTTTTGGTAATAGAAAATTCAATCTTTTCTTTTGGGTATTGGAAAATTTTCAAACATATCTTTGAGTTGCCGATTGTTTGGAGATAGTACTGAGAAAGCTTAGTTGGATCATTTAGGCATTTCTATAGTGGCAAGAAACTGGGGTGAATAAAATAAAATAAACATTTGAATCTCATAATTTCTTAACCAAACAAAATAATTGTACGAAGCTCAACTAAGGTAATTTTGATGAAAATTTGAATTTGAAAACTAATATTAACACAGCAAAATAGCTGCTACTAGACTGAATATTTTACTTCTCTGCATGTTCCCAATAAATGAAGAGTTTCTTTTTATGGTCTATCTAATTGGAAGAAGATTAAATTGAGAACTTGGGTTTCAAATTTATAGAAATTTTTGTACTAGTATTTTTTCTTTCCCGAGATTAAGCATCAGTTCTATTAACCATTACTGTTTTGATATTTGACTGTTTTCATTTTTTTTTTTTTTTTTTTTTTTTTTTTTTGTGTGAAGAGAACAACTGGTGTAAGTGTGTATTGCTTAGAGTGCCTGCATTGATTAGAAATGCAAATATGATGGCCACCATGTTAACTTGCTAAATTTAAAATCCTATTCATTTGTGAGGCAATTCCAGAAAATCAATATGCCTTCTTGTCGTGAACAAGTGTGATCCTTCGTAGGGCTGGTGCAACCATAAGATCAAGAAGAAAACAAGCAGGAAAAGGAACCCAAAATGGTGCAGACATAAACAACACTACAAGTGAAAAGGGTGGAATTTTGATGGTTGGGATCTAGGATGTATAAACAACACTACAAGCCTACGTAGAATAAGAAAAAATGAGAGGAAAAAGACGAAGAGAAGCGAAATAGAGAGAGAACTTCAATGGTTTCCAGTTTAGCTTGTGCAGGATATAAAAATTAGAGGGTGAATTGATGTATTATCTTGTGATAAGGCTTATGATAGGAGAATGTGATAGCATACTTTGATTTCTTATTCTCTCTGTATTTTGTCCCATTGAAGTTATTAAATATAAGCAGTGTGTTTTTGTATTCTCAACTGGTTTTAGTGTTGTTAATATGTTTTGGATTTGATCTTCGTTAATGTTCCCTAGATGACTTTTGGCTGCTTTCTCTCTCAGGTGAATCGTGTTAGTGTTGGCACCATGGCTACAAATACACCACCAGCCAGAAATTTCCAGCCTATTGTGAGCAATGGTAGAAGTCATGGATATTATTTGCTGACAAGGGCTAAGATGTCTGTAGAAACAGACGTGCTTGTAAAAGATTCTATTCGTGTTGAAACTGTTGATAATGGTATTAATTCTTCTTCATTTCTTACTTTATTAGTCAGTATTTATCATGGACTAGTTTAGTAGGACGAATCATTAAAATTTTATGTGCCTCGTGGACAAGCACGTGCTCACATCGCGATTGGAGAGAGAAAGTAAGGGTGGGAGTTGATGAAGGAATAAAAGAGAGCGACATGGGAAAGAGAGTAGATAGAAAGAGCTATGAGTAGAGAGAAATGGGAGAGAAGTCAACTACTATAATCCACTTGTTTATGTAAACCCAAATTTATCATTTGACCAAGCTCTATTTTATTCTTATTTTCATTTAGAAGAGGGTGAGGCTGATTTGAACCCTTCACATAGAAATCCAGCTAGAGTGTAAATGGCCTCCTAGTAAAGTGTAACAGTATAGGTATATTTAATGATATATCTGCTGATATTGATACAGATTTTGGAGTTGTTAGCGTTCACCATGTGGGAATACTATGCGAAAATCTTGAAAGATCGCTTGATTTTTACCAGAATGTTCTCGGTATGTTACCTCTTCTGCTCTGAAGTTAATATATTATTATTTATTTCTCGAAAGAAGATTCTAACTCCCAAGCTTAAGATCAGGTCTCAAGATAAATGAAGCAAGACCAGATGATAAGCTCCCTTATAGAGGTGCTTGGCTGTGGGTGGGTTCTGAGATGATTCATTTGATGGAGCTCCCAAACCCTGACCCCTTAACTGGTCGGCCTGAGCATGGTGGCCGAGATCGTCATACTTGTGTTGCGATTCGAGATGTCTCTAAGCTGAAAGCTAGACTTGATAAAGCTGGTAATTCTTCTATCCTCAATCTGTGCTTTCCATTTCTTTACCTGTAAACACAGAAATATCATTAAGGCGCGGCAAAAAATTTTCCAGCTGTGTTGTTAATAGAAGGAAATGTGGGTTTCCTATGGTTCTTTTTTACTTCACAGGGATTCCCTACACCCTTAGCCGCTCCGGGAGGCCAGCGATCTTCACAAGAGATCCAGACACAAATGCACTAGAATTTACCCAAGTGGACTGCTGAATGGTTTGATATCTAGCGTACAATTGTAATTAATGTATTTATAGTTCTGTAATTTGTCAAGACTCCAAACAGTACATGTGTGTTGTATAAAATGGTGTATGAAATGGATTGTGCTTCTGTCAATCTGTTGAGTCTGATGTGTGATTGTCATACATAAATGCGTAAAAGGAGGATTTGATGTGCTGGAGTTGCCTTTTGTTTTGTTTATAATACTGATTAGTATTTCCCTTAGTGGGAAGTGCGTTAATAAACTAAGAAAAGTGAATACATGAAGGAACAACAATTGCATTTGGTTGACTATTTCTCACTGTGAGGCATTTCTTCACTCACAATTGACATTCGTTCGCTAGTGACCAGTTTTCCTAAGATATCTGCATCTATGTACACATCCTGGGATCGTCGTCCACATCCTCTTCTTCTTTAGATGCGTCTGGCTTGACGCAAATGGACTTTCCATTGCCCTAGCCCCCCATTCCATCCGGATCAAAATGTTTGATTATGTGAACAACATATCACATGCATTATCAACTAAGGCACTAGAATCCAACTTACACCACATTGACAAAAACCCAACCAGGGGGTCAAGGATACATTGAAATTCCATCTCTCAAAGAAACTTTGTACTTTGCGAAACTTCAAGTAAAAGCATAACAATTACAAGATTATACAAATTCCAACCAGGGTGAGAAGAAAATTTCTATCAACCAAAGAATCTGTCAACTATGCAGATTTTTATGACAAAAGCATAAGAATTACATATTACAAGTTGAATTACTGTTATACACAAGCAGATGAAGATACATTTTGCAATACAAAATGATCATTACAAGACTCTTTTCAGGGCATAATGTACATTGCAACAAATTAAATAAAAATTGTAAAGACGAGCACTGAAGTGAACTTTAGTTGTAGAATAAAATGCTTGCTTGAAGTTGTACAAGCAACCATATTTTATAAATCAGGTACTTGAGGCTGCACACGCGAACTCCACTCTTGTATGGCAGAACGTAAAGTGTGGTTTGGAGTCAGCATTGTATGCTGCAGTCTGAGCTTTGTTACTGGCGATACTTTGTGTCTCTCAAGCCATGCCTTTATTGCTCTATGCTCATATGTAAAACCATCAGCCGCAATGTGCGGATCATCCATTATATCCTGTATAAGCCGTGACCGGATGTGCAGAAAAAAAGAACATAAGATGCATGGCCCCATAAAAATCAAATGCTATTAATTTACAGATCATCACATGGAGTTAAAAAATTTCACCTGAAGGATTGGGCAGAAGTAGTGGCTAGGTGCATTAATATTGTTTCTTTCCAGCTTTATACTAGCATCTGCAATATCAGCGAGTTTCCTCAAAACTGGCAGAACTTCAGTTTCAAGATCTGGCCTATCCCTGCATCTAAGTCCGGAGCATTTCAGTGCCATCCCAGCCAGTTCCTCAGCCTCAGCAATTGGCCAATCTGTAACTGACCTATCCAGTATGTCTGAGAATGATCCATTGTTAATAGCATTTTCAACTTTCAATAAAAGCCCATTGGGATGGCAAGCAGCCAGCAATTGGAGGGTTATGATTCCAAAAGCATATAGATCAGATTTGGGCCGGAGGGTGCCAGTTCTTTGATACTCTGGATCCATGTAGTAGAGAGTACCAGCAAGAATGGAGTCTCTATATTCTGTGATGTTGTCAGGCACAACATCTGAAATGAGTTTTGCCAGCCCAACATCTCCGATTTTGCTCACATAATTTCTGTCTAGCAAGATATTTCCTGGTTTTAGATCCCGATGAACAATAGGCTCTGGCTTTGAGCTGTGTAAAAATGCAAGTCCACAAGCTACTTCAAACACTATCCGGAATCGAACAAACCAAGGAAGAGAAGGTCTACCGCTCCGGCGGAAAATTTGATCCTCCAGGCTCCCATTTTCCATATATTCATAAACCAGGCAACCACTCTCTGGACAGGCTCCAAGAAGTAAAACCATGTGTGGATGGCGTAGTTGGCTAAGAACTTCAACCTGCAAGGAACTGAAAGATGAAATCAGCAAGTATTGCAGCTTAGTTTAAATCTTATGTTACAACCCTTGAATTGGGCAGAACAAGTCAGTACTGGAATTAGTTCCGAATTTGGGAACAAAAGCAATATGCATTGTAATACCCCTAATTTTAAAAGGATAGTCTCGGTATTTATTTATTTGTTTTAATTGTATTTTTAATTATTTAATTGATTATTTGACTAATTGCTTATGTGTTTAATTGAATTAGGTATTACTTGATTATTTGATTATGTGTCTATGTATTATTTGTATTTGTCTATGTGTTAATTGTTTAATTAGATTATGTGCTTAAATGGTGTTTTGAGTAATTGTAAATTAAATGTTTTCTTTTCTTTTATTATTTTATTTTATTTTTCTTTTATGGTTTTAGTTAGTAGTAATGGGCCAATCAATTGGGTCCCATGGACTACTTGGATAGAAGGTTAGATTTGTATGGATTATTACTCATGGATAGTTGTGTATGTATATATATAGATATATATTATATACATATATAAAAAAGAAAGTAATTTATTAATTACTTTTATGGTAACTTGGGTAATAATATTTAATCTGATGTATATGTTTTATATTTAAATAATAAAAATATACATAGATTTGATACGTGTTATGTTTTAAGTTACTTTATAATATTATGGTAACTTAAGTATTATTGGATAATCCATTAATAAATATTGGAATGTGTATAATTTATTTATTTAATAAACATATACATAAATTATATACGTAACATATTTTACTTACCTTTTTTAATATTTTAATATATATATATTTTTTAAGTTGACTTGGATTGGGAAAAGGATTAGGGTTATTTTATTTAGCCTATAAATATATAGCTATAGGTTGTAAAAAGGGGCTAGAAATATTCACGTGATATACTTTAGAGAGAGAAAGAGTTAGAGAGGGAAGGAAGAAAAGAAAGGAAGGAGGAAAAAAAACCCTGTAGAGAGAAGATCAAGGAAGCAGAAGTTTAACTTTCGATCCGAAAGTTTAAGGCAAATTCTTCTTCTATCTCTTTCCCTTTAATTCATGTTTCTATGCATGCCTAGGAAATTCCAGGATTCATTAAACACATAAAATTAAATAATTATGCATGTTTAATTGGATTAGAACATAGGTTTAATGAAATTGGTTCATATCTGTTCTTGTGTTATGAATTGATAAATGCATGATTTTGATTTGATTTCCAGCGTGAATTTTTATATGTTTACATTATGTATTTTTCATATATGTGGAATGATGGAACGTAGAAACATACCTAGGATTCCTGAACATTAAATAGGAACTAGGTTTGGGTTTAAATAAATTTAAATAAACTCAATCATAATGATGCTTGCTATTTGAATGTTTTAAACAAACGAATGGATTTAATTTTTTAAAATGTTTTAGCAATTAAGATTAAATGTGTAGGATGAATTGGATATGGAGAATGCTTATTTGACGGTATAATAAAATATCATCATGTATAAGATTCAGTTTGTGTAGGACATATGATATAGGAAGCTTAAATAAATAATTAGTTATTCCTATTTTGTGATAACTTGATATCATATTATCATAGTTATTTCTGGATTGTTTGATGTATTTCCTTAATCGTTACATTAATTGCTGGATTGTGTGGTTTAATGCACTGGTATGGGACGGTGGCATTCTAAGGACGGATTAACTTATCAGTTAAGTCCAACCTATTCTATATAAGGGAATGGATTAACTAAAATGTTAAGTCCTACTTATATTTAAGTCAGGTCAGCTGAACAAGTTGAATGACTTATGAAGGGTTAATTTATTATATAAGGGAATGGATTAACTAAAATGTTAAATCCTACTTATATTCAAGTCAGGTTAGCTGAACAAGTTGAATGACTTATGGAGGATTAATTTATACTGAATAGGATGGTTACTAGATTTTATATATATAAGTATGGTGCCATGATATGAGTTTGAGTCTCAGGATCAGTGGTTAGGGTGCGTATACCGCCAGGGATGTGTAGCTAGATATAGTGCAGTTGTGTACCCTGGTAGGTCTAGGTACTCGTGCCCACTATATGTGTGTTTTGCATGTTGCCTACTATTCAGGTTGAGACAACCCTAAAATCTAGTGAGGTTCCTTTAGTGTGTGTATATATATATACGGACTACTAGTTACTGTTAGATTGACTAGGATGTATACGTGTATCGGATCTCTGTTTGGACTGTAGTACAGTAGAACTTGTTTGTGGGCCTGACCTACCATTATTTTTCAGGTGTTCGTCAGGAGTAGAGGTTGTTCGTGCTGAGCGGGGATCAGTCTACTTCATTCTTCCGATGCTACATAAGAGTTCCTTTATGATTCAGTTTCCTGATTTAGACAGTTATTGCTGTCATTTGCTTAATTTGGATTTTCTAGGGGTCCACACAGTATGGATTCCCAAGTTGTATTTTGGAGAATGAGTTGTATCAGAAGAGTTTATTAATTAATGGAAATATATTCTGAGATTTATTATTAGATTATCATTTTAGTTTCTTGTCAGCATTTTATTTATTCTTCTTTATTCTTTTGTACTCTGTGTTCGTTTATTATCAATTTGTTTTGATATCCTCGGGTATTCGGGCGTGGGCCTGGCCAACCCGCATTCGAAAATCCGGGGGTATCACATGCATCATGTGAAAAGTCAATCAGACATAGGTTATACTTCTTATGATAACAGTCAACTAAGATTTAACAAAGAGTGGCAAGATACAGTAATGTTGTGTTTGTGTGTGTGTGTCCGTTCATGACAAAAAGAGGGAGATTCTAGGATAATACTGAAGATTTCAGGAATAATAGTGAGTTATTAGGGAGTTGTTCGCAAACTTCACATATTTAGTAAAGGTTCTATAACTGTTAACCCAAGCATGATAAAGGCAGTTTATTACTCACTAGACAAAAGAATCACAAAGGCATGGAAACTTAAAACGAGAAAAAGCAATTATAAGATAAGGAAACACCTCTCTCAGAAACTCTTCTTTCTTGTCAGATGCATCGGGCCGAAGAACTTTGACAGCTACTGGGGTGTGATCAAGACTGCATCTGTAAACTTTTCCATATGCCCCTTCACCAACCATCTTAGTCTCAGAGAAGAAATCAGTAGCGATCTCTATTTCCTCCCTAGTGTACCTCTTGTACCGTCTATCATTTGATAAGAGTGCGTCGACGATTTTCTGTTTCTCCAAGGACTCTTTGAGGGCTTTCAGTTCGGCTATCTGCCTTTCATAAGCCTCTTTAGCAAGCAAATTTCTTGCCATCTCAACTTCCTTAACAGCTTCCAAATGCTTCTCTTTCTCTTCAGCAGCGTTTTTCCTGTGAGTTTCTTCTCTTTTCATGGCAGCATTGACTCTTCTTGCCTCATTGAGGTATTCAGAAGAAACCAAGTGGACCTGCAAAATGGAGCATTGATGCTCAAAGGGCTAGAGTTGGTATAATACATGCCCATCTAAAATTTTCAACCATGGATAGAACCATTATAAGATGCATCTTCACATTTTCAAGCCTCGTCTATCGTTCCTTACAACCTGTGCATCAGTCTCAAATTGATATCAAGTATTCAATTCATCTTCTAATTCTATATTGAACTTGATCATTACAAGAAAGCATGAAACTGCTTTTATTATTATTATTATTCTTATTTTTCATCATCATCATCCTTGCCTTTATTCCATATGGAACCGTTCATTACATGTGTTAATAATTTATAACCTTTAACATGAATCAAATGTTTTGGAACATTGTAAAGTGACCTTATCTGACCTTGTTTTGGGCAAGGACCAGGTCTTCACAAGCTCTATTGTACATGGCAACAGTGTTCTGTAATTCTAGGCGCAGTTGATCTACTTCAGCCTGTACATCGGACTGCACAAAAATAGCTTAATTAAACATAAGCACTGGTTGGTCATTTTCGTGCATCCATTACAATATGTAAAAAGCAATTAGTTAACAAGTGGCTCAAAATAGATTTGCCAAATAAGTGTATATATTAAATTCTTAAAACAAAACACGTGGCTGTATGCAAAGCGATCTTTTTCATACATTTTATTTCAATGTGTAAGAAACATAATTAACAAGTGTTGAAAATCCAACTTCACCTAACAATTGGATATATTTGTCAAAATTCTTACAGCAAAATATGCAACTTTAGGCAGAGTAGCTTAAAAAAATCATCCACCTGCTCTGTGGATATAGAAGCCACAGAAGGGCATCCCTTGATTGTCTGAATCTCCGAGATACTATCTCCCAAGCTCCGATGATTTATTTCCTGGACTGCACTAGAATGAACGGGAGAACTCTTATGCTTTAAGGCTTGAGAATTTAGGAAACTAGGATTCGACATTGATGATGCACCAGAAGTGGTCTGAACTTTACATCCCGCAGAGGAAGAATAAAATTCAGGTTTTATATTCTTAATGCTTCGAGAACCACGTTCTCTTTGAGTAAACAACCAGTGTTTAGAGCTGTTCTCTGTAAAATATTGGCAGAAAAAAAAAAATAATAAAAAATAAAAATAAAAAAAAAAAGGAAAAAAAGAGTGGCATAAACGAACAATTAAGGACAAGAAAAATGTTGACTGCAAAAATTCTGTTCAATATACCACTAGTTGACAAGCAGTCAGCTAAATTTGTGATGAGCCTTTGTCTTGACAGTATGTAGATATCACACGCGTCAGGAGCATGTTTCATAACAGTTGATGGTACCTCGGGGCCCTTTAGCTTCCTAAAATTAGGTAGAAGTACAGGCAGATTATAAACATATGTAAGAACCTCGAGAAAGCCCATAAGAAGTCTAGTCACAGCTAAGAGACCACAATTACAGAAAAATGTAATATTATGTTTTAGCCAGATTTCTGAATTCTTTGCATAAACATGGAAACAACAGAAGAGAAGGATAGTAAAAACATTACCAATATGCATTGAAAGTCAAGCAACAAGTCATTAGTCATTACATAATATCATCTAAATGACAATATAATCATGAGGTGAGCTATAACTTACAAAGAGAAAAATAATACCAATATAAAAACCACTACTAGTAGTAATAAGAGAAATGAATTAAACAAATTATTGCTTAGATTGACACTTCATGCCGTACCTTGTAAAGCAATTGGACGAGCAAGAGCCTAATACTAAACTTCTTATGCCCGAGTCAGATATATATCTTAGAAGTGTTGCTGCAGGATTGTCACCTTCCAGGACCACAGTCTCCACCTAGGAAAAAGTTTAATTTAACTTTTATACTTTCAACACCAACTCGATTAGAGCGGAATTTAGCCACAGAGAGAACAACAAACTCACATTTCTTGGTCTGCACATTTTGATGAATGGTAAAAAGATCTCCTCAAGCTTTACTTTCACGTCCTCCACATACATCGACACCGCATTTGTATTCAGCTCCTCAATAGGGATACTATCTCCTGCTGTAGAATGCATGATGACCAACGGTAGACATCAAAAGTTACTCAAAAGTGGCATGATTTGGCAGAAATGACAACCAGGGACCAATGGGTGAATTTTGATCGAGCAGAGTTGTACACTCTGAACTCTAAGGAAGAGCCCAGAATAGATACTTTATAAAAAAAAGGTAAATTACAATCACTACCGCTGAGGTATAGTATAATTACACGGGCATTCCCCATTGATTCAAAATTATACCAACCTCTCCCGTTGTTAGTTCACAGTAACAAATTTCTTCCCTACTCTAATAGTCAACAAAATCAAAGGGTGGAAATTGGAATCTGCTTATGGCAGCAAAATTAAATTACTAGTACAAAACACCATATTTGCATTAGTCCTTTCACTTTAAATCCACTTTTCAACTAAAATAATATAATATTACATTGAGGGGGAAAAGGTGAAATCACACTCCCTCTTAACTTCACATAGGAGGTCAGTGTAATTTTTTAATCAACATGAGAGACTGTGAATTATGTTGGATTTCAGTGGAGCTGAGAGTAATTTACCCTTGGCAAAAGTTTTATCAACCAGATGGCAATAGAAATTTGTGAATTTTCTTTCGTATGAATTTTAACTTTCTTCAAATTGAGTTCTACATTGGTTGGGAATTTAGATTTCTGCATTTCTTGCCCTTTAAAAGTTCTCAAGTACCGAACATAAAATAATTTTAGTAAAATAGTTCTATCACAAGTTTGCCTATTTCTTTACAATAATTCGTAATTTAGCACCATTTGGGAGATGAAGATCGTATTCACCACACTCTCTAACAATATAAGAGAACTTTGATTGTTTGGCAGAAAACTAAGGAAAATTAAAAGAAACAATAATAACTTGAAATATCACAATTTCTGCTATTTATTTCCTAAAATAACGGAAATAGTCAAATTTCGTCAAATAATAGTACTAGCATACAGTCAATACAGATATATAAGCAGAGATGTGTAAAATTTGCTGACGAAAAAAAAAATTACATGGAGTTGGGATGGAGGTGATGGTGGGCATGACGTGAATTAGAACAAAACGATCGGCTTTAGGCATGAGATTTTGCACCGCCCACTGGACTGCTCGTCGGCTACCTGATCCCCCCAAACCGCCGCCTCCGCCTTTTACGGCCACCGCTACCGACTCCATCGCCGCCGGAGGACAATCGCCGTCGACGCTCATATTGATTCTCACATGTAGTATATAATTAAACTTAAATTTAAAGCTCTCTCTATATATGTCTAATGTCTATATAGAAAAATATAGATAGAGAGCAGAGGAAGGATTGTTTTGACTTGTACTTCGGAGGGGACGACGACTTGGAAGCTGAAGGTGGCCCCACAGGAATTTTCCGTATGAATTTGCATAGTTTGCCACAAGAATATACTTTGAGGCTTGGTTTGGTTACATGAAATTAACTTTAATTAACCTTCGGGGCTTAGCTGTGATGGTTGGAGCTTGACACTAAGTTTAAAATGGCCGGTGTTCGACTCTTTTCAAGCTATCTATTCCTCTCGATATTTACTGTTGCGCGTGTTGAGGGGCCGGTGCGCCTGGCACAGGTTTGTAACTTGGGGTGGGTCCCTAAGGGGCCCTACCCAGGAGAGTTCCTGTTTTTAAAAATTAAAAAAATAAAAATAAAAATAAAAATAAATAACTTTAATTAAAAGAAAGGAAAGAAAAAATTTTTAATTTTTTTTTGAGTTTGGATAGATGGACTACTTTCTTTCAAAACTTTTCTCACACAAAACACTGGAAATAATATTTTCTCGTGAAAACCAGTTCTTTTTATTTGAAGTTTCTATTTTAACCAACAACTGAATTATGTAAAATAATTAATTTCTTTATTTTCTAACTAAGTTTCTTTTCTACTAAAGGCAAGTTCTTTAACAATTTATATTTTAGTGGACTTCTAGAAGGCTCTCTAAACATGTTCTATTATAATACTATTTGGACATTTTTTTTTTTAAATATATACATTGTATCATATATATTATACACCTCTATTATATAGACAGAGAATAATTTATATATTTTTCTCTTTTTGTGTTCTCTGGTTGAAAGTCCATGAGCCCAATTTTTTTAATTTTTATTTTTAAGCTTCCTTATTTCTCTTAAATGAATAGATAGTTCTGCTTCTATGGTTTTACCTAAGATGTCTTGAAGTATTGTTTTAATTTAAACAATATAAATAATTATATTATTAAAATTTAATAATTCATCATTTTATTAAAACTTTGAATAAAATAAACATCATTAAACACAAATTTATTTATTTTTTTAGTATTGGAAATCATAAGGGTAATTTTGGTATGCATAATCACTTTTTTTTCATTTTCATGCTATCCAAACTAACAAACTAATATTTTCATACAATTTTTCTTAATAAATTTTCATGCTGACTAAATGCTTCATAGAAAATAACTTTTCTTTTCATTCACTTCTCTTTTCTTTCATTTTCCATTTCTTTTATTTTTTTGCTTATTTCTATCTAACCAAACGAAACCGGAATGAAAATGAGTAACTTCTCCCAAAAATTTGAAATACTATAATCCCAATAAATACCATGTTTAATATATATATATATATATATATATATATATATATGATAAATGCTTAAAACCAAAACCTTCTAAAACTTTTTATTTTCACATTAAATGGCCTTATACTATTTCGTTTTCCTTTCGTTAAGATAACGTTTATCATTCAAAAATGTCGTGCTAAACATTTTTTTTTTTGGGTAAAATGCCAAAAAAAAAAAAAAAAAAAAAAAAAAAAAAAAAAAAACCCTCAACTATGGGGGTTTTGCAATAAACCCCAAAACTACAAGAAATCCCCACGAACTTTCAAATTGTTACAATTTGCTCACTCAAGCCACCAGAAAAAAGACGAAGTTGCCCTTCCAATAAAACGATGCAGTTTGCTTATAATCTCAATTTCACTTATTGACGTGGCAAACAACATCTAATCAACCAATAGGATTGCCACAAGAGATGAGGATTACCACACAACAACCAAACCCTAACCTACCTTCATTTATTTAAGGCAAACACAGAGAGCAGAAAGGAAGCCACTTTGATGCTGCTTTGAACACTTCATTCATGGTGATGTACAGTTCTGAACACTTCGATCGCGATGGAGTTCTCGATGCTTGGAGCTCACCAATATGAGCTGTGTAGCCGACGCTTGGAGCTCACCAGTGTGAGCTTGGTGTTGTCGATGGGTTTCAAAATGAATAGCACTAGTGATGAAGAAGAATATCGAAGTTATTGGGTTTGAAGTTGGCTTGCCGAAGTTGATGGTTGCCAAAGCTCAATGGGTCTCGCCGGAATTTGTTTAGCCGATAAGTTCAGTTATAACGCTGCCAACCTTTTTGTTCATCACCAGTGAGGTTCATTTTGAGTCATGTGTGCTCATCGTTGTATCCTTGCTTCCCTACCATTTCGAGCTCATTGTAAGCCTTCTTTGCTGCCTTATTGGGCATCCTTACGAGCTTACCGACATTCTCGCCGTCATTGTGGTCGCTAGTCCATTTTTTGTGGCTCATTCATGCCGTCCTCTCCACTGTGCTTACTGGACAGTCATTTCATCAAGTTCCCTGCCATCGCCGGCCATACCTAGCGAGCGTGCTCATTGGTAAATCCTTGTGCTACCGTCTTCTGTCCTCGTCGATGCTGTTTCTGGGTTCGTCGGCAGCAAAACGGGAATTGAATTTAAGGAAATGGATATGATCGACCAATAAAAAATTGAGTTATGTGATTTGGGAAAATTTGGTTAAAGCCATGTTTGGGGTTAAGGGCACTCTTGTCATTTCATGCTTCTAAGGGCAGTATGGTCTTTTAAAATAATTCAACAAAATTTAACGGCTAATTCTCACCGGACCTTACTCGAATGGGGTGATTTGAAACTTTTTTGCATAGTTCAAGGGGTTTCTTGCATTTTTTGTAGTTTAGGGAGTTAGTTGCAGGTTTCCCATAGCTCAGGATTTTTTATTTTTATTTTTATTTTTTTATTTTTTTATTTGCATTTTACCCTTTTTTATATATTTAAAAATGCCTATTAATTCATCACGTGACAGTCACGTAACTTTACAAATGACAAAATAAAATTTTTTTAATTTAATTTTTATTTTGGGAAAAAAGTTTTAAACATGGTATATATAATAAGTTTTATTTTAATTAGTGAAATTTATATAATTTGTTGATCATTTTAGAAAATTGTTAAGTTTGGTAGCAGTCAAAAACTTATAACTACATATTTTATTTTCATTGTAATATAATAATAAATTGACCAAATATAAAATTAATTAGAGGAAAAGATATAATTAATATTTTTTATAAGAGAAGGATACTAATTAAAGTTCTATTAACAAGAAAGGGCAAAATTGAAAAAATATTAATAGTAGAGTTGTAAACATTTATAAGAAGTAGATAAAATTACAATAATAATAATAATAAATAAATAAATAAATAAATAACCCTCTTGACTATTTCAAATTGGCAAAAATATAAAATAAAATAAAATAAAAATAATTCTAAAGTTTGACCTAAAACCTCCATTGTTGCAACTTTGAGAACATAGATCTTTGGAAACTTTAGTAATATTATAATGACAAATATGCCCTAAAATAGATTTTTATTTTTATTTTTCCTTTCATGATGGCAATAATGTTTAGGCTTTAGGGGTTATAACTTAGAGGGAGGGTGTAAGGCTCGGGCTCTCGGGTCACAGAGAGCAACTCAACCACTGGGGCAACACCGTACTTGCTCACAAAATAGAAATTTAAGAAAGAGTAAATTGCATAAACCGCTTTTGATTAATAAATTTTTGCACAAAATCAATATATGTTATCTTTAAAATGATTTTGATTTTAGTTTTTCTTTTTCTTTTTAATTTCCAAAAAAAATAGAAATTTAAGAAAATTTTAAAAATTGTTCCAATGTATATTGGTCTTCCTATAGATGCATTTGATATATATATATATATATATTAAAAAAAGGGAAATTTATAATCCATTTAAATATTTTTTCAGAAATAATTTTTAACAATACTATACTGAAGTCATAACTTATAATTAAGCTACTCTAGTGACTTAAAATGTACATTGATTAAGGTATTTTCATTCAAAGATTCAATCTTTACACAATAAAACACTTTTGTGATTTTAAAGGGAATTCGAATAAGTTTCCTTAAAACTCTTATTTTCATTCAAAGATTCTATTATGATTATATGTGATCGCTGTTTCATGATCTTTATATATAATTTGATGATAAAACCTCCAAATTTATATACTCCCTCCATTTCAAAATGCATGATCGATTTGGGAACTGTGACTCATATCATTATATATAATTTGATGATAAAACCTTTAAATCTATATATATACTTTTTTCTTCCCAAAATACATGATTACTTTGGGAACTATGACTACGTCCTCCATCTCAAAGTGATAATGTACATATTTTGGGATAAAAGAAGTATATAGATTTAAAGGTTTTATCATCAAATTATATATAATGATGTGAGTCACAGTTTCTAAAGCGGTAATATATTTTGAGAGAGAGAGAGAGAGAGAGAGAGAGGAAAGAAGCATTTTTCTTGCATAGATTGTGCACTTGAACTTCATGGAGAGGATTTACATATGTCCGCTGAAGTGACTAAAGAAGCATTTTTCTTGCATAGATTGTGCACTTGAACTTCATGGAGGGGATTCACATATGTCCGCTGAAGTGACTAAAGTCACCTTGACCTTTTTCTTGCATAGATTGTGCACTTGAACTCCATGGAAAGGATTCACATATGTCGGCTGAAGTGACTGAAGTCACCTTGACCAATTAATTCCTGTGGCAATTGATGGACTTGAACCTATTGGATCATACACGTAGTATATACGTGTGAGGATGGCATGGGTCCTCATGTGTGCGGATGGGACGCACGCCCTCTGGCCATATAGCAACTATTGGCATCCTATGCTGGATGTATCAGCTAACATATATATTCATCTTAAAACCAGCTGAAAGAAATATATAGAAATATTGGCACATATCATGTGTAACTGTAGTATATATTTATATATATATGTATGTCATGCGACTCATGCACCGTAGGTGACAGATAGAGAGAAAGCACGCAGTCTTTCAAGCACGGCCTCCATGCAAGATCAAACCATGTGTGCTCACTATCTTCTGTCACGTACGTACGTACCTTCCTTACCACCTGTATGTTGTACCAGATCATAAACATTCTTCAAACTGTATGCACCCAGAAAGGGTTAAGACTGTATCTTACATGCAAAGACAAACTTGATTTGATTATGAAGAAGTGGTGGTTTCTCGGAGCTTAATTTATAGAACTAGACCTGAAATGGTGGTGGCCACAGTACACATATGTGGAATATTATGTGGCAATTTAAACACTCATTGGACCTTTATATGCTAGTTCAGTTTTGTTTGCAATAGCACAACCAACCAGGTGCACCAGTAGAACGGCGACAATTACTATGCCACTAATAATATTCTTCTCATCTGAGTTCGTGTTTAAGTCCACCTCCCCTAATTTGTTAGGATTAGAACAAAATAATACAAAACTATACTTATATAGACTTGAACATAATTTATTTGAAAATATTAATTAATTAAGCATTCATCATCCTTTATATGTCCCATTTGGATTGGGTCAGCCCACATGTATGTGTGTGTACATATATATATATATATATATATATTGCTTTTCATTTTTTAATTAATTAAGCATTATCTTGTATTAATTACTAATGTTTAGATTCAAGATACCTACCCAAGAAAATGTATATATATAAACCTATCTAAAAAAATCTGTAAAATCAAATATTAGGTCAATGTTATGTAGAACACCTTAGATTTACTGGGAAAAATAGTGGGGAATCTATAAAATTTATCAAGTCAAAACATTAGGTCAACGTTTTATAGAACACCTTAGATTTGCCGGCAAAAAATGTTTATTATGATTCTTAATTTCTAGAATACAATCAACAAAAAAATTATATAGAACACCGTAGATTTGCCAGGAAGCTTGAACTGAATTGAGCAGTGTGTCTTTTCTCTCCAACGTTGACAAGGAATACGTACTGTTTAATTTCCAATATGGCGGACCTTGCTTAATAGAAAAATTAATTGAACAAGAATAATCTCAAAAAAGAAATTCCTTTATATTGATTAGCTAGGTGGAAACCAACCAATGAGTGTTCCTGTGCTTGACAAAGTTCTGTTTTAAATTAATTTTGTGGACACACAAAAGATTGACTGTGTCATAAAGTAGCACAAAGTATATATGCTTTATATTGATTAAACACAGCAGAAACCATGGAAGATGTGTCTATATATACACACACACCAATCACAACAAAAGCTTGGTTACAAAGACGTCTTGCCTTTCAATTTCCACATTCCCTGTTTGTAGTATTATACGGAGTACTTCTTTTGTTATATAGCAGATATGATTCTCTCATAAAATGCAATTAAACTATATTTAATGTATTCCAATGGCCAAAGCATATCCATTCTCCGACGCATCCACAATGCTTGACCCATTAATCAAATATATTATTTTCAGTGGTTTTAGGAAGCTTCTTCAAATTTGATTCTTTTTGTTTATGGGTGGCAACTGAAACAGGTTGGACCGCTGGAAGTATAACTGAAGCTCACGCACCAACGCATGAACAAATAAATTCTAATTCAAGTCTGATTCCACTTTCAATCTTAATTATTTAATTCGAATCTAATTCATCTTTGAATATTTTAGATTTATTGAAATTTCAGACTAAAAAATTCAATTACTCACATGACCAATCTTTCATATTAAAAATTTAAAATATTTTTTAGTTAGTTATTATATTACTCCTCAAGTACAAAAAAAAAATTTAAAACTTAATGCAAAATTCTATTACCACCTACCCATTTCTCATTAAATTTCTCATTTTTATTTATTATTTTTATTATCTTTTTTCTTATCTAAATATTAATTATACTATTTATCTTTATTTTATTTTTAGTGTCAATTTATCATAAAAAATGAAAAAATAAAATAAAATAGAGATATAACAAGCTTGAAGCTGTGTCCTCCACTCTAAAGTCCACGAGCCCCAGGCCTTCGCCCAAGGCCCATGATCAAACTCTCCGTTTGGATCGGGCAAGCCAGCAAGTAGGCCCACAAGCCCTACTCGGGCAACCCGGCGATGGTGGTCCATTGTTTGAATTAGTCACTATGTGAGGTGGTCTGCTCTACTCCTCTGAGATTTTGTAGATTGAGATTTGTTTAGTTGATGGTTTGTTTTTGTTAAGGTTTGGGCTTCAGTTTATTCTTGTTGTGGTATTGTATTTAGTTTTCTTGTGTTGGTAAGTCAACCTAACCCCTCTTAGGTTTTAGAAAATTACTGTAATAATCAAACACGACATCGCTCTACCAACGCCGATTCGACGACAGTTTGATGTTACCTAATATCACTGGACTTTCCCAAGAAGGCAAGTAGACAAGAGAAGTAGATCCTGCGAATGGGCGGGGACTGTAGGAAGTGGGACGAAGACGCCTATAGATACAATATTTTGCAGGAGAGAGAAATTCAATCTCGAACCGTCTTCAGAACCGCATTCGCCCCCTCTCCCAATCCCAACCCTGACATCATCGTCGCCGCCTCCAGCGACGGTTCAATCGCTTCTTACTCCATTTCTCACTCTCTCTCCTCTCTCGTAACTCCCCTACTCTCTCTCTCTCTCTCTATATATATATATATATATAACATACACATATATATTTTGACTTCTTGTTTATTCTTCTGGCTGCAGCCATTGGATTATGCTAGGGCTCAGAAGTAAGTGTATTTAGTCATGATAGATTTCTTTAATTTTGTGTGGGGGTCGATTAGGGCTGATTATGCTCAACAATGTGGTGGAATTTGTGTAGCTTGTTGGTGGTGACCGAACCTAATTGCTTCATTCAGGGGCATGATGGACCTGCTTATGACGTTAAATTCTACGGAGACGGCGAAGATTCTTTGTTGCTGAGGTCCGATTTAATACTAACACATATCTCTCTCACACACACATTTGCATGTTAAATTTGTGTGCGTGTGCTTATTTTTTCTTTTTTAGGAGTTCATTTCATCCTTTCGTCTGGTCTTACTATTAGTTCATCATGTCGAGGTCAAATTACTTGTGCGAAATAATGTGGTATAGAATACACATGTTTAATTAATATTGAACTGACTATTACTTAGGAATTGATCCGGACAAAGCATAAGTTATTTATGGTGAAAGAGAAATCTTTGCTAACTTAGGCATGCATTATGTAGTTGTGGCGATGATGGTCGGATTCAAGGATGGAGATGGAAAGAAATTTTGAAGTCAGAGGTTCCTTTCCAAGGTAAAGACTATGGACTCTGTAATTTTTCTATGAAATGATATGCTTAATGAAACATTCAGCTGTTTTTTAATTACGTTTTAAAGCTTCAATTCTCATTCCTTTTGTTCTAATTGTTTTGCGCTTTTACTTGCAGGAGGCCATTTAAAGCCAGTACTTCACTTGGTGAATCCTCAACATAAGTTAGTCATCCCAAAACTTGAAACATAGTACTATCCATTAGTCATGACTGCAGAAATTCTTCAGTTTTCATGTTCTTCTTTTTGGATGAGAATCCTTTTTGCCTGCATCACTTTTATCGTCTATGGCTTGCAATTTAGATGCACTTTTTTTTTTGCATGTGTAGTTTCTAAGATTATTAGATGCATTCCCATTGCAGTTGCTCAAGTATATTGAAAAAACCTCAAGTGTGAAAAATTTGATACCATACGTAGTTCATATAAATGTGTATATTGGCAGTTAGTATGTTAAACACAAGTGTCCGCATGTGTCAGTTGAACACTTGCTATATATCACAAAATGAGCAAAAGAATCTGTGTATATTCCCTTTAAATTACAGGTCCTATAATTTTCTTTCTGGTTCTTTGGCATTGATGTCACCTCATCAGTCTCAATCTACCGAGATATGTGCAAAGCTAAATGTCTTCTCTTATTAAATTAGAGAGGAATCATAAAAAAGTCTATTACGCATAAAAAAAGTCTATTACGAAGGCCATACAATTGATGTCATGACTCACCACTCACCACTGATACAGATTTGTAAAATCTAAGTGGCTTCTCTGCTTAAGTTAGACTATAATTGTAAAAATTCTCTGAGTTTTAGTATTATGCATGTAGTACTCCATCCTAAAAAGTCGAGTATGATTATATTGAATCCAAAAATAATCTTGGACATTGTATGTGAATTCAGTTCATATGGTTTGGATGGTCGGATAGATGTGAGTTTCATACTTGGCCAATTGTGAAGATGCTAAATATTGGATATTTCCGGTCTATGCATCATGGTGTTAATTTTCATCACTCATTTAAGGGTTAAGTGCATAAAACACCCCTATAGTATGCTTATAGTGCATATCACACCCCTCACGTGCAAAAAACACCCCTAAAGTTTCAATTTGGTGCAAATAGGTCCCTCTGACAAATTGAAACCTTATTCATTGTACCATGGCTCGTGATTGTTGGGACTTGGTGATTGGTTTGTTTGGGATTCTCTGGGTTATGCCAGGAACCGTTAGAAGGTTTATTGAGGCTTGGAGAGGTAGCCATGTGGGGGCTCATATTCAGGATGCTTGGAGGGCTACGCTTCTGTGTGTGTGGTGGTGCTTATGGCTTGAGAGGAATAGGAGATATTTTGTGGGGAAGAAGATGTCGATTTCTATACTTAAGTTTTCTATTTTTTCTACTCTTTTTTGTTGGGTTTCAGGGAGAGATCATAGATCTTTAGAGGAGATTGTCGATTTTCTGGCCTCTCTGAAGGCTTAGTGGCCCTTTGTGGGTTTTTGTATTTCTTTTGGGTTCCGCTCCCCTTCTGAGTGCTTTTATTTAATTTTACTTATAAAAAAAAAAAAATTAAAAATAAACCTCAACTTGACTAAATTATCCTTACTGAACTATTTTATAAAATATATAAAAATAAACAATTTTGTAAAATGACCGAAAAGGACGCTATTGGAGGACACCCTCTCACATGCAAAAAAACACCCTTAAAATTTCAATTTGGTGCAAATAGGTCCCTCTGACAACTTTAAACCATAAGTTGACTAAATTACCCTTACTGAACCATTTAATAAAATATATAAAAGTAAATAATTTTGTAAAATGACACTCTTGGAGGACACCATTTCACATGCAAAAAACACTTCTAAAGTTTCAATTTGGTGCAAATAGGTCCTTCTGACAACTTTAAACCCTAAGTTGACTAAATTACCCTTACTGAACCATTTAATAAAATATATAAAAATAAATAATTTTGTAAAATGATCGAAAAGGACGCTATTGGAGGACGCCGACAATGGACAAGTAAAAATAAAAATAGAAAATAAATATAAAAGTATAAAAAAAAGTAAAGATAAAAATAGAAAAAAAAAAAAAAAAACAAAAATAAAGTGCAAACTAAAGAAAACAAATCTGTCCCAAACTCCAAAAATAGTGTACACTGATATTGAGATTTCTTTTATTTTTATTTTATTTTATTTTTTTTAACAGTATTGGTACGAAAAAAAATAAAATAAAGAAAAAAAAAATTAGTAGAAAACAATAAACTGAAATAAAAAAAAATTCAAATCTTTGTTCCACAAATTCTCAGAGTTTAAAAAAAAAAAAAAACAAAAAAAGTTTAGAGATATAGATAAAGATTTTTTTCTTTTTTTTTTAAAAAAAAAATATAAGGTAATGTGCACATAACACCCCTATACTATGAGATTAGTACTATATATAGTTATATACCCTCTTGGGCATTTTCGGAAGAGTAAAAGGGCAAAACGGACATTACAACACTAATTTATGTCAGATTTCTGATTGAGGGGTATTTTTGCACAATTTGAAAAGATTAGGAGTGTTTTTTGCACACTTTTTCAAATAGGAGGTAAAACTGCTACGCGGAGTATACTTTTGTAATACCTCTAATTTTAAAAGGATAGTGTCGGTATTTATTTATTTGTTTTAATTGTATTTTTAATTATTTAATTGATTATTTGATTAATTGTTTATGTGTTTAATTGAATTAGGTATTACTTGATTATTTAATTATGTGTCTATGTATTATTTGTATTTGTCTATGTATTAATTGTTTAATTAGATTATGTGCTTAAATGGTGTTTTGATTAATTGTAAATTAAATGTTTTCTTTTCTTTTATTATTTTATTTTATTTTTCTTTTATGGTTATGGTTAGTAGTAATAGGCCAACCAATTGGGTGCCATGGACTACTTGGATAGGAGGTTGGATGTGTATGGATTATTACCCATGGATAGTTGTGTATGTATATATATAGATATATATTATATACATATATAAAAAGGAAAGTAATTTATTAATTACTTTTATGGTAACTTGGGTAGTAATATTTAATCTGATGTATATGTTTTATATTTAAATAATAAAAATATACGTAGATTTGATACGTGTTATGTTTTAAGTTATTTTATAATATTATGTTAACTTAAGTATTATTGGATAATCCATTAATAAATAATGGAATGTGTATAATTTATTTATTTAATAAACATATACATAAATTATATACGTAATATATTTTACTTACCTTTTTAATATATATGAAAGGGAAAGTAATTTATTAATTACTTTTATGGTAACTTGAGTAGTAATATTTAATCTGATGTATATGTTTTATATTTGAATAATAAAAATATACGTAGATTTGATACGTGTTATGTTTTAAGTTACTTTATAATATTATGGTAACTTAAGTATTATTGGATAATCCATTAATAAATAATGGAATGTGTATAATTTATTTATTTAGTAAACATATACATAAATTATATACGTAACATATTTTACTTACCTTTTTAATATATATGAAAGGGAAAGTAATTTATTAATTACTTTTATGGTAACTTGAGTAGTAATATTTAATCTGATGTATATGTTTTATATTTGAATAATAAAAATATACATAGATTTGATACGTGTTATATTTTAAGTTACTTTATAATATTATGGTAACTTAAGTATTATTGGATAATCCATTAATTAATGGGATGTGTATAATTTATTTATTTAATAAAGATATACATAAATTATATACGTAACATATTTTACTTACCTTTTTAATATTTTAATATTAATATTTTTTTAAGTTGACTTGGATTGGGAAAAGGGTTAGGGTTGTTTTATTTAGCCTATAAATATATAGCTATAGGTTGCAAAAGGGGGTTAGAAATATTCACGCGATATATTCTAGAGAGAGAGAGAGAGTTAGAGAGGGAAGGAGGAAAAGGAAGGAAGGAGGAAACAATCCTGTAGAGAGAAGATCAAGGAAGAAGAAATTTAACTTTCGATCCGAAAGTTTAAGGCAAGTTCTTCTTCTATCTCTTTCCTTTTGATTCGTGTTTCTATGCATGCCTAGGAAATTTCAGGATTTATTAAACACATAAAATTAAATAATTATGCATGTTTAATTGGATTAGAACATAGGTTTTATGAAATTGGTTCATATCTGTTTTTGTGTTATGAATTGATAAATGCATGATTTTGATTTAATTTTCGGTGTGAATTTTTATATGTTTACATTATGTATTTTTCATATCTGTGGAATGATGGAACGTAGAAATATGCTTAGGATTACTGAACACTAAATAGGAACTTGGTTTGGGTTTAAATAAATTTAAATAGACTCAATCATAATGATGCTTGCTATTTGAATGTTTTAAACAAACGAAATGATTTAATCTTTTAAAATGTTCTAGCAATTAAGATTAAATGTGTAGGATGAATTGGATATGGATAATGCTTATTTGACGGTATAATAAAATATCATCATGTATAAGATTCAGTTTGTGTAGGACATATGATATAGGAAGCTTAAATAAATAATAAGTCATTCCTATTTTGTGATAACTTGATATCATATTATCATAGTTATTTCTGGATTGCTTGATGTATTTCCTTAATCATTACATCAATTGTTGGATTGTGTGGTTTAATGCACCGGTATGGGATGGTGGCATTCTAGGGATGGATTAACTTATCAGTTAAGTCCAACCTATTTTATATAAGGGAATTGATTAACTAAAATGTTAAGTCCTACTTATATTTAAGTCAGGTCAGCTGAACAAGTTGAATGACTTATGGAGGATTAATTTATACTGGATAGGATGGTTACTAGATTATATATATATAAGTATGGTGCCATGATATGAGCTTGAGTCTCAGGATCAGTGGTTAGGGCGCGTATATCGCTAGGGATGTGTAGCTAGATATAGTGTAGTTGTGTACCCTGGTAGGTCTAGGTACTCATGCCCACTATATGTGTGTTTTGCATGTTGCCTACTATTCAGGTTGAGACAACCCTATAGTCTAGTGAGGTTCCTTTAGTGTGTGTGTGTATATATATATATATATATACGGACTACTAGTTACTGTTAGATTGACTAGGATGTATACGTGTATCGGATCTCTGCTTGGACTGTAGTAGAATAGAACTTGTTTGTGGGCCTGACCCACCATTATTTTTCAGGTGTTCGTCAAGAGTAGAGGTTGTTCGTGCTGAGCGGGGATCAGTTTACTTTATTCTTCCGATGCTACATAGGAGTTCCTTTATGATTCAGTTTCCTGATTTAGACAGTTATTGTTGTCATTTGTTTAGTTTAGATTTTCTAGGGTCCACACAGTATGGATTCCCGAGTTGTATTTTGGAGGATTAGTTGTATCAGAAGAGTTTATTAATCAATGGAAATATATTCTGAGGTTTATTATTAGATTATCATTTTAGTTTCTTGTCAGCATTTTATTTATTCTTCTTTATTCTTTTGTACTCTGTGTTCGTTTATTATCAATTTGTTTTGATATCCTCGGGTATTCGGGCGTGGGCCTGGCCAACCCGCATTCGGAAATCTGGGGTATCACAACTTTAGGGGTGTTTTCTGCACTTGTCCCTTCATTTAATATTTGCTCTTTTTATAAACTCTAGTCTTTGCTTCACTAGTATGTAAGATTTATTAATTAACGAGAAGCTTGGTTTAGGTAGAAATTAGAATATCCCACCTCCTTCCCCAACCCCAACCTCCTCTTGTCATGGAAGGAGATGAAAAATCAAATTGGAGAAACTTGCTCTCTCTCTTTCTCCAAGAAAAAGTTTTCATGTGGGTTTTGTTAGGTTTGGATTTTAAAATCTAGCTCAATTTGATGGAATTGTTTGATCTTAAATGACATCTTCTATAATCTTGCACGTGATGGGATATTTTTTTGGTTTCGCCCAGTCAAATATGTATTTTTTGTAATGTGCTCCCTTCAAAATGGAAGCTCAAGTGCAAGATTGTTTATATTTGTTCATTCTTTTACATTTTCTATAGAAAAAAAATCTTATTGTTGATGATGGATTGGTTATATGGAAGAGAGTGATTTTTTTTATTTTTTATTTTTGAAAAAAAAAACTTCAATGATACTTTTATTTGCTATATGTCTGTCAAACACTTTCTTTTATACTTAGCCAAGGTTTCTTTATGTATTTCACTGTTCTTGTCTTTGTTTTTCATATTTTTGTTCTAAGTTCCTGTTACAGCTATTATGATATCCTTTACTTTATGTTACCCTAATTTGGGTATTCGTTTGCTTTGATATTTGGTCCATGCTTTCATATTCACCCTTTATCATCTTTCTTCTTACCCTAAATAAAATTTCATTTCTTGTTTGTCTCCCAGAGGTCCTTGGGGTGCTCTTTCTCCAATCCCTGAGAATAATGCCATTGCAGTTGATAATCAGGTTTGTAATTTGGTTTTCTTTTGGGTTTTCCATCATGTCTAGTCACTGAATATGGTTGTTCAGATCTAGATGCATTACTGTAGATACTCTAGTATTTCTTACATTTTATATTATTCTGCTGCTCCACCCTAGTTATAAGGTTTATCCTTTTCGTACTTCTATTAGTATTTTTCTTACTTTATGTTGTTCTGCTTCTCCACCCTAGTTATAAGGTTTATCCTATTCTTACTTTTATTATTATTTTTTTCTGCTTTTTGATTAATAATAGAACTCTCTGGTCTTTAATAAGTTTTGGTTCAGTTGGCAGCTTTGCGAACTGCACAACCGAAATCTGTAATTGAGTGTATGTGAGCGGGAACATTATCACTCGTAAATATAGAATTTGTCAAACCTTAATATCTGGTCGCAGTTCCCACTCACCTCAGCCAGATGAAATTTCAAGCGAAAACTTCTTCAGATCACAAAAGCAAACACCTCCACATCCTCATCTGATCTTAGAAGCCTTAGAGAAAATAAGAGTGTCATCTATTCACAGCACCTACTGGGTGATTCATGTAATTCCTATTTCCTACTGAAGCTTCTTAAATGGATGACCTAGAAGGTCTTTGTTTTGGATAAAGTGTAGTATGTCTATGTCCTGCAGGACGGCACTGAGAATGATGATTGTACAAATTAAAGATAGTTTTCCTGTATTATAATTGCATGCAAAATCATCTGTTTTACAGCTTCCAAGAAGTGTGGTTGTATTTGTATAATAAAAAAGAAGTATGATCGTGCCAAAAGAATCACATTTACAGTCTTATGACTCTTATCATCCTTACAAGGTTTTTCACATTAATCTTGTCACGATCAAGTTGATTTCCTGGCATAATCCATATAATTAATTGTCTAGAATTACTACTTTATATATTTCATTTCCAATATACTGAGTTTATAATTTTTCCTTTCTTCTACAATAGAGGGGATCCATATTTGCAGCTGCTGGCGATTCTTGTGCGTATTGCTGGGATGTGGTATGTATACATTATGTTGAATATATTACCTGTTGATGTTTTTGCTCCATAGAACTTCTTAGTTTTTCTTTTCCTCAACATATACATTTAATATTCTTTTTTCTTCTCTTGCTGATCTGATTCTTCACGACCCCTCTTCTCTTCTCTTTATGATGATGAAGTGCTCTGATTCAAAATATGTCTTTTGAAATTTTTAGGAGAAAAGTGAAATTAAAATGGTGTTCAAGGGACATTCAGACTATTTGCATAGTATTGTTGCTCGTAATTCCAGCAATCAGGTCTAGTCTTCTGGATACTCGTTATTCTTCTCTTTTATTGCTCACTAGGATCAATTTCAAATTGAGGTGTGGGAGTATATATATTCAATTTTTATTTTGTTTTTGTCACTTGCGACTATCGTTGTGATGTTTTAAATTGGTTGACTGGCTCTATATAAGTGGAATGTTTCTTCTCTTTGATATCCTCAGTTGATTTTAGTGAAGAAAGTGTGACAAATTTCAACAGCCTGTAGATTATAAGTGCTCATTATTTTACACTTCAAGCATGACCTGAAGTAGTCTGAACTTCTTTAAGAGTGACTTCTTTCCCCCCTATTGTGAAAATGTTGATATGGAAAACTGATGAATGTTTAATTTTGTCCAATTTCTCAAATGCATCGTACATATCTCTGGATAAATGTATTCCTACCCAAATATTTGTATAAATTTGTGGTCCTAGAAAAACATAAAATTGTATTTTTTAATTAATTTTCTGGGCCTATATGTTAAGAGGTGCTGTGTTATCTGGGTATTATATAGGGCCTTGACCACACTCCTGCAAGATTATCTTCATTATTTATGTTCTTAATATTTTTCCTCCTTTTTTGTCATTTTCAGATCATTACTGGTTCAGAGGATGGGACAGCACGGATATGGGGTAAATTTGATATATTGTTTTATGAGTCCAAAATTTAACTAGACAGCTGATCATCTTGTTTAATTCTTCTTGTTTCTTCTTCTTGTTTGTCATATTCTAATTGACACTCACTTCTTTATATATATATATATATGTATGTATGTATGTATGTATGTATAATTATACATGTATTCTGTGCTTTTACGTAGACTGTCGAAGTGGAAAGTGCATTCAGATAATAGACCCAGGGAAGGATAAGAAGAAAGAACTCTTTCCATGTGTCAGTTGCATTGCCCTTGATGCCAGTGAGAGCTGGTTGGTAAGGTTTCATTTAGTGAGGATGTTATTTTAATTTGGAGGAAATTTTGTCTGGTGTGTCTTATTTCTAAGTCACTCGCAATCGTTATTACATTTGAAAGCATGGCTAATTGCACTGGTAATCTACTGAACATTTGCCAAAAATGTGGCCACAAGAGATTTTCTTTTACGGATCAAGGTGTTCATTTAATACTTCAATTTGCTAATTAAACTTCTCAATCTCTCTTCCATTCCATAGTCGTTCGTTGCTTCTTTTCCTTTTTCCTTATTCTGCAAATTTTTACTTTTCCAATTTACTATCATAGGCTTGTGGTAGTGGTCGGACTTTATCAATTTGGAATCTACCTGCTTGTGAACGCATTTCGAGGATTTCCACTCGTGCTTCCATCCAAGATGTAGCATTTGATGACAATCAGGTAAGTTCTTGCATTTTCTTGATGCAAGTCAATTTTTGTCTCTCTACTTTGATTAAGATGTTATTTCACATGTAGTTTTCATCATTCTTGAATTGACTTTTGGAAGGTTGAAACCTCTAATTCTCCTCCTTGTCCTCGTCCTAATTTCACTTGGGTGATTCAATAATGCAATATATTGTCAACTTATTTCGGTAAATATTTATACCTTCTATTTGACCGCTTCGTCATTTTGCTGTCTAAGATTTAGTTTCCAACTACAAAGTTTAGTTTTTATTTATTTATTACTATTCAATCCATTGATAATCAAGCTTTCATTAACAAAGAAACCATGGATGCGTATCAACATCCACATTTCAGCTACGCTCATTGTATGATTTCTTAACTACATAACTTTAGGTTCTATAAAGTGATTCTTTTACATTTCAGAAGCATTCATCCTTCCATGTAAATCATCCTGATTTATTTTTATAAGCAGTGTCATCTTCTATCTCTCCTTCTCTTCCATTCGATCTCTATATAACATTAAAATGTTTTCAGATCCTCTTTTCACATATTTTCTAACTCATTTGAGAATTTCTAAGTTCCCAACCCCACCTTTTGTAGTTGTAAAAAAGATTTTTCGGAGCTGCTTTTTTTTTTTTTTTTTTCTTCCCCTGAATAAACCATGTCAATTAAGCACTTTCGAGATGACCAATCCATTAACTTTTAGTTCCATAGTTATTGAACTTTTCTATTTTAAATGATCTTTTTCTTTTTCTTTTTTTTTCTTCGGGAAGTTCAAGCAAACACTTGTTAATACTACCAAGGCTCGGACACTGAACCTCTCTCCATTTGGGGAAGAGAGCTTATACCAACTGGGCTAGTGCCTATTGGTCTATTATAAATGATCTTAGTATTGTATAAATGTGCTTTTTCCTGGCGGGCCTGCTTATTATGCCTCCCTCCGTGTCCCTTCCTTCAACAAATAAAAGACCTTGTTTTTGTTATTGGCACATTTCTCAATGTGGTGTTACTCTTCAGTTTTAAGTTTCGTTATTCTCTCTCTCTCTCTCTCTCTCTCTCTCTCTTTTATCCCTGCTTTCAAATTTTTTCTTTTTTGAAATATGTTTTATATGCTTTTCAGATTTTAGCAGTTGGAGCAGAACCATCACTCAGCCGATTTGACATGAACGGGGTCATTCTTTCACAAATACAATGTGCTCCTCAGTCGGCATTTTCTGTATCCTTACATCAGTCAGGCGTATGTTCTACTTTTATCTTTTGTCTATTCATTTTTTGATTTATAATTTTCTTTCAACTTGTTATGTTGTTCCAACATATCTGCTTAAGGATTTGATCACTTAATTCATCCATTTGTATGGCTATTGTCACTTATTATTTATGTGAAAATCTGAACTGAATTAAAATTAGCACATGTATTTCACTGAGATGGAACATCTTGTGCTGAACCTGAATCCTTAATAATTATTGGAGCATAAGAGCCTCACGTGGACGCATATTGACACTTGTTCTTACCTTAATTCCGAGGAGTCAGCTTCATCGATTTCCTCAACACATGCGCACAAACTGAAAAGGAAGAATTGATTTTGTAATAACATAAAAACTCAGCTATATTACAGGAGGCATTGTTTCAGTTTAGAACAATACTCTTATCTTGTTTGGATCATGTATTCTGTAATCATTAAGAACGCGATTACTTACTAATCAGTAGTGCTATACTGTGCTTCTCATGATGTTGAACTTTTTCAGGTTGTCGGAGTTGCTGGCTACGGAGGTCTAGTAGATGTTATCTCACAGTTCGGAAGTCACTTGTGCACATTCCGGTGCAATGAAGCTCACTGACCTTTCGGAGATATATATATATATATATATATAAGGGAAGTTCACTGAGCTTGTACTTGTAAATTAAGTTCATTTGAATGGAGTATGCAGTGTGACTGAGGGAACAGAAGAAAGGCATGCAAAGCAATTTACAAGTTAAGGGTGATGAATGTCCAACTAACTATTGCTATTTGGACTCTGTAGATTATGGAAGAACCCTTTCTTAATTTATGTGTAACATAATTTGTGATTGTGTACACAAGTTTTGGATGAACAAAAATTGTTAAATTATGTAAGACTGTGCAAGATTAATGAAAGATTGTTGTTATTGTAATACTTGAAATGCTGAAACATTTTCTATTCTTATTTTCCAGTACTTGGAAGGATTTTTTAAAAAGTGGAAGAATTCAGGGCACGATTTTATTATTATTTATTTACTATACATATTTATGAATTAAGGAGCTCTGGTATCAAATCTGTGCCAATTTTCAATAGTTTTGTGAAGAGGTTTGATTGCCTTTACTAAGCTTGTACCTGTTCTTTTGGCAAGCCCAACACTATTCATCATTAGCATTTTAGCTCTTATGGGTTGGAACTGTCATTATTTGAAAAATAAAGACCGATTGCCAATGATTTAAGTGTCAAAAATGAATGTATAGACAGTTATGTGCAATTAACCTAATTTTTTATTTATAGATATATTGTATATATGTTGTGCGATAAGAATAAATCTTCGCTAGAATTTTTTTTTTTTTTTTTTTTTTTTTTTTTTTTCTCGTTATTGGCAAGAAACTTACCTACTCACTTTGTTTATTTGGAGATTTGAATTCTTATTATCCACTTTGGGAGGTAAAGGTGATATCACTCGGCCTTAAAGTAATTTGACGCGTAGACATAATAATAATATATTTAAATGAAACTAATTTGAGTTAATAGTATTTTATTTAAATGAAACAGACTATTCACACATTCGGTTATCATTATCAATCAAGTTAATAGATTTTTTTCACAATTATATAATTTTTTTATTACTATTTTAAATGATTTAAAAATTAATTTCTACCATTATTAGTTAAAAATATAATAAAACCGTGGAAGAAGGGGAGTACAAAAAAAGAAAAAAAATAGAAAAGTATAAAATTAGGAATTTTGATAGTGAAATGAAAATTTCAGAATGAATGAAAATAAATAATATAAGAAAATAAAGAAGTCTAATAATATATGGTTGCGTTAAAAACAATAATATATGAAATACTTACGATAAGAGTGATTAGTTGTAGTCTAATAAAATAAGGAAATAAAAATGTTATGAAGATAAATAATATTAGTTTCAGAAGCCTTAGTAATATAAGGAAATAATTTTTTAAAAACGACAAATAAAATAAGGAAACAATAATTTTAGCAATTGGTTGATCTAATATAATAAGGAAATAAAAATTTTAGAAAATTGAAGTAATAATTTTAAGACCAATACAATAAGAAAGGGCAATTCCTAAGTCGGCCCTCATTGTAAAATTACTAATAACCCAAAATAATTGTGTCCGATTTAAAAGGGTGTTATTTTTTTGGCAACATAGAAGGCTATTAAAAGGCTTTGGGAAGGGACGTGTATCGAATACCTAGAGTTTTGATAAATAGAACCCCCACTCTCTTCGCATCTCTTTCTCAACTCCACGGCGAAGATCCGAGGAGTTTGGGAAAACCCTAACTTTCTCTGCATCGCTTCTCTCTCTTCATCCACAGTCTCGAACTCTTCATCATCACCAGGTATTTGTTCAAGCATTATGTTAATCGAACGGTGGCTTTTAATATAAAATCTGTGGAAATTTTTTATACCTTCTCGTTAATGTTACTTTATAGTTTGTGTGTATTTTTGAATATATATTTTTTTCCCGTATGGTGATTTTATAAAACAATTGAGCTTCACCAGTAACAAAGATCCCAGCCTCCAAAAGCGCGTTGAATTCAAAAAAGAACGTAAAAAAGCGCGTTTTGTGAATAGAGGTTTGATAAAAAAAAAAAAAAAAAAAAACGCACGTTAATCTAGGTCAAAAGCGTTTAACTAAACACAGCTAGGACTCTATCACCTATGACTCTTAATCGCGGACTGCCATTGTTACCATAATGTCTCTCTCTGAACAATTGATCGCTTGATCCAAAGTTATTGGATTTATATAATATATATATATATATAGTTGATCAAAAGTTATTGGATTTATATAATATTATATATATATATATAGTTTACTATTTGTTTGTTTGTTTATTTTGTATGAACGTAATATTTAATGTATTTTATTACTAAAAGAATCCCATATTAACTAGAAATTAATATTTTAATTATTTATATTTGAGTAATGTACATGTTTATTACTACTGTATGGATAATATTAGTAATAAAAGTGTTTTACTAAACAAATTTAAAATACTTTAAATATAAAGTGCTTTTACTAATAACTCTTTTATGACAGCTCTGTTAATAAAAACTCTGCTAATAAAATCGCTTTACCATTACAATAGCAACCCCAAACAGGTTAGTATATTAAATTTGTAAAAAAATGAGTTGAAGGTCAAGAATGAAAGAATATGAAGAACCTTTTATCAAGTTGTGTTGTGTTCTTGTTTTGAGACCCTCTCTCTCCCTAGAAACAGATACATCCATGTGATAGTTGAGTTATACTCATTGGAGGGAAAAAAGAAGAAGAAGATGTTTTGTGAGGTGTAATTGAAATTTTAGCTAAATATATTCACCCAAAATAGTTGGGATTACTTGTTAGGTATGGATAGTCATGAAATTGTTCACGCTTCGCTTATGAGTTTTGTTGGATTATTTGCAGCCATGGCGGATGTAGGACAAGAGCGAGGAGAGTACGATACTCGTCAGTTTGATGCCAAAATGGAGTTGTAAGAACTTATAACATTATTTTCTTGCTTTTTAAAATATTAATTGTCGAGATTTCAATTTAAATGTAGAACTATTTCACGGTTGTAGGCAGATGCTAATTGTCTTCCTTGATTTATGGATGCAGGCTTTCAGCTGATGGGCAAGATTTCTTTACATCATATGATGAGGTTTATGATAGTTTTGATGCTATGGGTTTGCTAGAGAACCTTCTGAGGGCCATTTATGCATACGGTAGATCTAATTATGCATCAACTCTTTACTTGCCACATACTTTGTATCATAATGTAGCATTGATTGAATTTTTAAGTTTCCATGACAAATTTATTGCCCCCAATTTTGTAGCCGCCTTTTCGTTGTTCACCTTATTACTTTTAATTGGATAAGATCTGGCCACAGAGGTTTTCCCATATGTTATGTATTCATCTAGTTTATCTTGTTTTGGTCGGAAAACGTGAAATATTGTATACTGATGTGTTCTGAAGTGTCACTTTGCCTCCTTGCTGTTGTTTTTCCCTCAAGTTACAATTATGATTTATTGACGAAGGATGGTTTCGTATATAGGTTTTGAAAAACCCTCTGCAATTCAGCAAAGGGGAATTGTTCCCTTCTGCAAGGGTCTTGATGTAATTCAACAGGCTCAGTCTGGAACTGGAAAGACGGCAACTTTCTGCTCTGGTGTCCTCCAACAACTTGACTATGGTTTAATGGAATGCCAGGCGTTGGTTTTGGCACCTACGCGTGAGCTAGCACAACAGATTGAGAAGGTTATGCGAGCACTTGGTGATTATCTTGGAGTGAAGGTACATGCTTGTGTTGGTGGAACCAGTGTTCGCGAGGACCAGCGGATTCTATCAAGTGGGGTTCATGTTGTTGTTGGCACTCCTGGGCGTGTATTTGACATGCTGCGAAGACGGTCGCTCCGTCATGATCGCATTAAGATGTTTGTACTGGATGAAGCGGATGAAATGCTCTCTCGAGGTTTCAAGGATCAGGTCTTTTAAATGTGTTCTCTACATTTTTTCTGTAGCTTAAATAGATTTAATTTAAAGGCAATATTTTATTTATAACCTAATAACCGAGCAAAACAGAAGCAATAAAATTTTAGAGTAGTATTAAATAGATAACTTGACTAGCTATTTGGGATCAGCTAGGATTGTTATCTGGTCATGTGCAAAAAGGCCTTGTTATTCAACTCTAAGGAGGATTGATTTGAATCAAGATGAAGTAATATTAGGACAAGATAATGTTAGAAAGATTATTGGTTGAGTCCATGAAATATTGTGGACTTTAAAAGAGAACTTTGTTTTTATTAGATCGGGTTTAAATAATTTCTTTTTCTTGCTATATTAGAATTTAAAATTGTTACTGATGGATTTACCTCATGCTATACATTGCCTGAACTTGAAAGAGGGTTATTCTTGGAAACAAAAGTTTATAGTATATGATGCAGTTATTATGAAAATCACAATTTCACATTGTTACAATCATTATTAGCCAAATCCGAAAAAGTTGGCTTTTCCTCAGTTCTTACATTCCTTTTCGGATGATGATCCTTTGTTGTTCTGACGATGGTTGTTTTGCTTCCAGATCTATGATATATTCCAGCTTCTGCCTTCAAAAATTCAGGTTGGGGTATTCTCTGCCACAATGCCCCCTGAGGCCCTTGAGATCACAAGGAAGTTTATGAGTAAACCAGTGAGGATACTTGTGAAGCGTGACGAGCTTACCCTGGAGGGTATTAAACAGTTTTATGTCAATTGTGAAAAGGAAGACTGGAAACTTGAGACTCTGTGTGATCTGTATGAAACCTTAACTATCACCCAGAGTGTAATATTCGTGAATACACGACGGAAGGTTGACTGGCTAACCGACAAGATGCGTAGCCGAGACCACACAGTGTCAGCCACCCATGGAGACATGGATCAGAACACGAGAGATATTATTATGCGTGAATTTCGTTCTGGTTCCTCTCGCGTTCTCATCACCACTGATCTTTTGGCCCGAGGTATTGATGTCCAACAAGTATCCCTTGTTATAAACTTTGATCTCCCTAGTCAGCCTGAGAACTATCTCCACCGTATTGGACGTAGCGGACGGTTTGGGAGGAAGGGTGTTTCCATCAACTTCGTAACGAAGGATGATGAGAGGATGCTGCAAGACATCCAGAAGTTTTATAATGTGGTTGTCAAGGAGCTGCCATCAAATGTTGCGGATCTCTTCTAATGCAATTTTGTTATTATATCATTAGTTAGAAAAGTAGGCAGATCTCTCCATATTTCCTGAGGATAATTTTCCTAATTTAAGATGTTTGAATTTATCTAATCATCAAGTAATATGAGTGATGCACAGTGTCAATTTTTAAGCATCATTTCCAGATTGGTTGTTGTTGATATCCGTTGAATTTATCTAATCATTCAGAAGTTTTGAATGCCTTTTTGTTGATGAGATGTTGAGTTGGTGTTGTTTTGAGTATAAATTTATTATCAAGATTTTATGCTCTTTATGTATATAAAGAGCTTGAAATATAATAATCATGATCTACCCACAATTTACGCTGAACTTTATTAATTTACTTTCGTTCAAATTGTTTTATTATTATTATTTCATTTTTTTATATACTTTTTTAACAATGTTGCATTGAAGCAACTTTGTGACCATGATCCCATATAATTTTATTGGTTAATTATCAGTGAAACATTATCTTTATCATATAAGATTCATGTTCTGTCTATTGTATGAATAATTTGTTTGCAGATTTCAATCCATCATCTACTAGTATCAATGTTTTGACTATTTTGTTCTACTTTAACCAAGTATTCTCTAATCCATAGTGCTTTTAGTGTTCAAGACTGATTTGCAGACCAAGAGAATTCAACATTTTTGTTTCTTGCAAGAAAATAAGAACCTTCGACCTTCAACTCTGAAAGATTTGAAGGTAAGACAAATACCACTAACAGCCTGCATTCTTTGATGAACTTTATTCTTATATTCTTTCTTTTTTCCTAATGTGGACTGCATTTTTTTTTTTCCAATGAAAATGACACGAGAAATATGACAATAAAGATGGAGAGAGAATAGTGAAAATGAGAAAATGAAAGTAATAACAGTTTAGAGCAGCATATTCAACTTTTGGGTCCTATTCTCATTTAAAAAAAAAAAAAAAAAAAAAAAAAAAAAAAAAAAAAAACCAACCAACCTTTTGGGTGCTATTTACGATTGCGCTACTTATCAGTATATAATTAGTTGATGAAATATCTAGCATTTCTTGTTTTGTAATTTTAAGGATTTAGAGAATAAAAAATTATTTAAAAAAATAATTATATAAAAATAAGTCTTTTTATAATTTAATTTTCAAAAAATTTGAACAAAGTAAAAATTAAAAAAATAATTATATAAAAATAAGTCTTTTTATAATTTAATTTTCAAAAAATTTGAACAAAGTAAAAAATTTTGAACTGTAATTATTGTGTAACAAACCAAGTGACAAAAAACTATTCTCGGGGGCACACAATGATTGGGAAGTTGGTGGAAAGATGTGGTAGCAGCGTACCGAATCCAAACCCACTTCTAAAATACCACCGACGCGGACAAACTGTTGACGTCAAACAGTTCACAGAATAACATGAAACTGATCGGTGAAAACGCCACAAACCCAGATATCATCGAAGCCCAAACCCCATTCTTAAAAAAATAAGTATTTTCTAGAGAGAGAAACTGCATTTCTTCATTTCCAATGGAAGATTTCAGATCCAAGTCATGTGGTGATGGAAGGATGCAAACAGAGAGCTACAACTACAATGGACACAAACCCACACCTTCCAATGTCCAAGATTTCAGATGTTACAGTGCCTCACATGCATCATCATCTTCTTATGCACAACCACCACAGACCCAGATGGAGATTGTCAAAGATGTGAAGCTCAAGAAAGGCAAGTCCATGAATGGGTCATCAAAAAATTGGAGCTTCAATGACCCTGAGTTGCAGAGGAAGAAAAGGGTGGTCAGCTACAAGGCCTATACTGTTGAAGGGAAGGTCAAAGGGTCTTTCAGGAAGAGCTTTAGGTGGATCAAGGACAGGTACAATCAGATGGTGTATGGTTGGCGGTGATCACCCTTTGGTATCATTTTCATTACCATCTTGATTTTTTTTTTTTTTTTTTTTTTTTTTTTTTTTTTGTGTTCTTCTTATTTTGTACTAATTTGGGTTGTATAAGTTATTGACAATTAAGTTAGGATTATGTGTTGTATTTGGTTATTAAAGGCTTATTGATTGATTATGGGCAAGCTTTATTTATGAAGTTTGATTTACTTGTTTTGTACTATTGAGATTGCTGTTTGATCTTCTTAAGATGTGAGCTATTTGGAGGCATATTGATATTTTTGGTTCCTAATTGTGGTTTTTGCTTGAATTTTTATTGTTCGTTTGAAATTTGGGTTCTTTAGATAATTTTGTCGAATTAATGAAATGCATATTACTTTGGTAGTCTAATTAAGCATGTTTTGCTTCAGTAGTTCAGTGTATCCTTCAATTTAGTGTTATGAATGTATATGTTCTGATCTGTCAATGTGGTTACTACTTCCAGGCTCATTTGTAGATTTCAGGTCTATAGATTGGACTGTTTTGGTTGTTTCTTATGCGAGTTTATGGCTCTCTTTGTCATCCCGCAGCTCATATTGTTTTTCCCAGTAAAGTCAATACTTGTGACAGTCTAGAGAAGCAAAAACCCATATTTTCAGTTCTATGCATGATGCCCAAAACCTCAAGCAGGTATGTTGATGAACTTTTTTTTAGTTGGTACTCACACACACATGCCTCCACTGAGACTTGAACCCCTAACCTCCCTTTGAGAGGTAGGAGTCTAATACCGTTAGGTCACTGACCTGTTATTTAATGAACTTGCTCTCGCCACATTGACCTTTTTTATGTGGTTTGGAGGTACATCTGCCAATTTGAAAATGCATGTTCCTCAACATTTCATTTGGGAGGAAAAGGATACCAGATTGGGATCTTTGTATTACCTTTTAAACAAAACCGAAGTCTCATTTCCTATAAAGTTTCTGTATATGGATTTTTGAGGCATTCCTGTCCTCTCTTGTTCTTGGAGACTGTTGGAGACCAAAAAGGGTGGCTTCAGCTTCAGTTTTCCCTCATGCTTTTCCTTCTTCATTTCACTCCTAAATCTTCTGTTTGGTTCAGCATTGCTAGGAGTTTCATTGGTTATTATTCTTAAACACATTATTAAGTTGTAGAATCTGATGATTCATAATTGAACTTCATACCTTTCTTTTCAACTCCAGCTCTATATGCTCTACTCAGTAAAGAACTTATCTGACTTCTTTCAAGATGTAAGGAACAAACTTGCAAATTGATCCCAATGATATTTAGAAGTCCCATTTTTTAGAAATTCAGCCTGGTGACCATCAACACTGTTTTCCCACTCATAAATCTTAATATCCACTATTGGGGCGACTATCACTTTTCCCATTTGATTTTTGAGGATACCATTACATTTCAGAACATCTACCATTACATTTCAGAACAACCGGTGTCCTTGAAAAATGAATGTCCAGGTAAAAAAATAAAAAATAAAATAAAATAAAATAAAAAAATACTGAGGTTCTTGCATTCCTCTTTTAAAATAGAGCATATGAAATTGGTCCCTCTTACATAGTTAATCAAGGAAATCGGCTCCATTTACTGCGCCGATTTTTCCACTATGCTGGTGCGAAATTGGAATCGCCTGAGCTTGAATTTGTATTATTTCTGTGTCTGAGTTCTGGTTTGCAAAGTTCTTGGCTGTAATTGCAAAGTTCTTGGCTGTAAGTCCAAGAGAGGTGGTATTGGTCTTCAAAGCAGTTCTAACATGCTTTGGTTTGTGCTTAACTAGCAGCAGTCTGGAGTTCTTTGTTGTGGCTGAATTTATGTTTGTTGGTTTGTTATATAGTTTGGAGATCCCTTCTCTGTTGTTTGCTTTGTTCGCTTCGTAGTACCTGTTATTAAGCCCCATTGTGCTGGATTAAGAGTTTCTACATTTAATTTTTAGCATGTTTTGTCCATTCAATGCATTGTCTTTAGGTGGCTTTCAACAGAACAACTAGTTTTTAATATTCTGAGGACCCATATTTGCTTATTGAGTTGGGTGGTCTAGGGTTTATCTAAAGCTTTCTTTCTTTTCTTCCCCGCACCCCCCAGGCACCACAAGATAGTAGAATGTGACGCTCTGTTCTAATCCAATCTTTAGTTGCAGGAACTGTATTTCATTTTGTGTGAGAGTACTACTTGCCTTAAAAAAAAAAAAAAAAAAAAAAAAAAAAAAAAAAAATTGCTCTTAGTCTGATTATATGTGTGTAGAAGAGTATGAATTTGGTTTTTAAAATGTTCAAACTGCTCTGAAGCTACTCAACAAATTTTAAATTCTAATATCATTTCCTACTTTGGTTTTATAAAAAAATCAAAATTATTAATTTAAAATGTCCAAACACTGCAATATATGTCAATTAAAGACAGCAGAGATAATATAAGCTGAAAGCCTTTACATAGCTGCTTACATAAATACCATACTCTTAGCTAAAACATCAACTACCCTATCAAACATTCATATTCTCTAGAGGAAATAACAAATAACTGCATCCATATATATATATATATATAGAGAGAGAGAGAGAGAGAGATGGGGTGCTGCTAATGCTATGTGATGTTTTAAGTGCAGCAAAGCATTTATGGGTTGAAGAAAGCAGTGCCACATTTGCATTTCCATCCCTCAGGTTCATAATTAGCATAATGGACGCCCACATGGTCAGTGGTTGTGGGCACTTGAATGGCATTACACGGTACACAATTTCCACACTTGTGCTCACAGTTTGGTGGCCTTGACCCAAGTGCGCTCAACATTTTATATGCTTCTTCATCTCTATTTACTCTTTCCATCCTCTCACCTCCCTTCACAATACAAAAAGCAAACCAATAAATATTGTATATATATATATATACACACATTTGGGGAGAGGAAAAATAAAGGAAAATACCTGTTTGGACACAAAGACAACCTGTGGCTGTGGGGAGAGTAAGATTTGGCCCTTGTCTGATCAAACCATAAAAGGTCAGTACAGTGGCAGTGACACATCTTGAAAGAGATCAAAAACAGAAGCAAAAATGTTTCCAGGAAAAAAGTTGGGAAATTAAAAACATTTGGGGATCAAAACATACTTTTTAAGGAAAGGTTATATGAAAAACTTATTTCTACTGAACAGGTTAAAAACACATTGTGAGTGAAATTGACTTGCTAAGAAAATGAATGATTGAGAGTCCAAATAGTGGAAAAACTAAGGAAGAAGAAAAAAGTGTCCACATGTATCTAACCTTGGTGGTGAACACTGTTGTCATATGGTGTAAAAAGCCTGCTTGCTGCAGACACCCATCTCATTACATGCAGAATAATTAGTAGAAAAGTGCAAATTCTTCTCTTCATTTCTAACACAAGGCCAACTGATAATAAGAGAGGGAGGTCTTAAGCTTTTTATCACTCAAACTTGCTAGTGGCCAAGAATAGTGAAAAGAGCTACAAAACAACGAACTTGGGACCCTTCAAGTTATACCTTCAAAATAGACACACTTGCACACACATATATATATATATACAAACACACACATCCATATAACGATGTATTGATTCTTGGGAAATCTCTCTGAGTCTCACCCTCTCTGTATCTGTGGTCTGGTAGAGATGCCAGTCTCTCTATCTCTCTGAGTTGTCCTGGTGGAGAGATTAGCTTACCAGACACAAGTGATTCTGCCTTCTTGACAAAACAGTCTATGTTTGACAATTCACTAATTCCTTTTGACAATTCACGAGTAAATAGTTATCATAGAAAATGAAAATTTCTCTTTAAACAAATAAATTAATAATTAATTTACACCTTGAATTTTGTAGCAGTCTGTGTTTAGCGTGAATATTAGCTAGATTCTGAATTTGAATCTCACAATTCAAGTTAGTAACATTTCGAATCATTTCTCTTTTATGAAACCTTCCCGCTAAGTAACAGTTGCAACTATTGAAAAGTCAAAAGTTTAGTAAAAGTCTGAAACACTACTAAACAGCCAGATCCTACCATCCAACTTTTAAGTCTAGTAAATACATCTCCAATATAATAGGTTAATTGTTTAATTCTCCATATGAGACAATATGGGATGTGTGTGAATTTCTTTTTTGTCAAAAAATTAAATAAAATACCTTGTTATATAGATCACTAACATAAGTGAAAGAATTGGGGGTGATAAAAAAGCAGTGCATGGATCATTTTTCAATGGGTTTGGAGACTGAAGTCTGCTCTGGAATAGAGAGGGTAGGGCTGTGATGGGTGCAGTTTACAGAACAGAGGCACACAAGAACCAAAGAGAAAGAGGTCCCGTATACAGACACGTTAGACTAGAAAGAGTTTTTTGAGGAACGCCAGAGATTTATTCAGAAATTATTTGATCTCATTGCCAGTACATTTATGAAGTTCAATGGTACAAATTGGTATGGTCCCCTATAGAGCCTATAATGCAACATAGCTCCACCAGCTGTACACACACACACACACACATATAGTGAGAGAGAGAGTGGAGTATTACTACTATAGTAGTACGTAGAAGAGCACTGCCATGCCATTCATCACTTTCTCTCTCTTTGTTGTTCAGCTCTCTCTAGCTGACACTGGGACTGGCAGGGTCTATGAAATGAAGTGATGCATATAGCAGAGCAGGGAATGGTCAGCAAGAAAACAGACTAGGCATTATTGCCCTTAAAGAAGAAATGATTTGATAATAAGGATGGGTTTTATTCTCATTTTAGGTATGTGCCTAAGACTCAGAGAGTCTCACTCTGTGTGATTTGATTATAATTTAATGATTTGATGATACACTGATGCTAGTCCCCCACACATTTCTATATCTCAACTGTGTTTATTTATGCTACAGCGCATATGAATTCCCAATTTGTTTACCGGAATTGTGGTTTAGATAACCTCTATTAGCAGTTTGTAGCCGTTAATTTGTTCTCCTGGGCTGTGTTTGTCATTGGGTTTGGGCCTTTTTGTTTGGGCTCCTTGTCTTGTTTGGCCAATGGCCTTCTTTCTTTTGTAATTATTTTATTTATAATATCAGTTGCTTAAAAATCCAAAAAAAAAAAAACTGTGTTTATTTATTTAATCTTTTACACAATGAATAAAAAGTAAATTTATTTTTTGGTTACTAGTAAAAGAATTGATAATGTAAGTCAATCCCAATCCAAAACCCTAAACCTTTGTCACTATAACTAATCACACTGTCCTAACTGCCAAGTTCACCAGTTTACTGATGCATTTATATCTCTCCGTGGCATCGCCTACACCATTAACAATGCTCTAAAAAGATAACATAGGGGAACTTTGGATGAGGAGTCAGTCATTTCAGTCCCTAACTCACTACCACAAAAGTTATAGAATATATATTAACTTTGTTTACAATAAAAAAATAAATTAAATTCAAATTTCAATCTCCATCAAGAAAGGCTGTCAGAACTCAACACAACCTGATTTTGTTATGTTATGCCATCTGCAACAACAAATTATTATTATTATTATTATTATTATTATTATTATTATTATTTTTCAATAAAAATATACTTACAAAACAAAAGAGGCATCACAAACAAAGCTTTCAAAATATTCAGGGAAAACGAAGTCGAGCACGGAGCCACTTCACAAGCTTCATGAGTGATTGATTTCCATAATCAAAATACAAGTAAACAAAAACAATTAATGAAAAAATGGAATTAGTTCCTCCCCTTCTGTAGGTGCAAAATTCCGCTCAACCAATAATGATTGAGAAAAATCAAACAACTCACTCAAAAACAATAAGAATAAATAAGAACAGTGTTTAGAGAAGCGTAGAATTGCTTGATCCCTTTATTGGAGGTCTAAGCCTCTATTTATATACAAAAGATTGTAAAATTATGGTAGGACTCGCGTTGCTTGCCCTCCAATTCTTTCTATATAAATATTCTTTACTAATAGAGTTCTTTCCATTGTCTAATTTTCTATACATAGAACTTGCCTTGTACAGAACTTCCTATCTCAGAATTTTCCTTCTACGGTAAATCCTTCAACTGGTAGGACTTGTGCATTCTTGAATAACTGGGCTGAACATATTTTGATCCGGCTGGGCTTGAGTAACGGACCGGATGTTAAATATTAACAAGTTGAGCTGATGACCTCTTGATTCGACCTTGATGGAGGTTGGAGGACAAATAACAATGGTCTTGGGCTATAAATACCCTCAATTTGGGCTTGAGCATGATGGGCCTTATATGTCCTTGGAATGTAGATATGTGTAGTGATGATGTGTGCGCTTTTTATTGGAGGGAGTTTTTTTCCCTCCACACTTTGCCCCAAATTTCATTTTTAATTGAGTGACGGCTCCTATTAAAGAGGGAATTGAAACCGGTTTTTTACTTTGTTTCAGAAACGGTTCGAGGTCTTTCGTTATTACTCCGTCATACAAGATTTTGCAAGAGTTACATTCGCCCTTGCTGCACTTTTGCGTTCTTCATTCCATCGCTTTGTCAGGTTAGTTTTTTTTCGCATCTTTCTCTTCAATCTTTCATTATGAGTACTTCATCCACTCCCGAACATATAGACATTGGGGATTCTGAATCCACACCTTCATCTTCCCCCGTTCGCATTAGGGCTCCCCCTCCTAGGGTTTCTACAAATCGTCTTTCGTTGAATCAATTAGGTACTTCCCCCCTTCCAGCCGAGACATCTACCTCAGGCTCTGATTATGTTCTTACTCATGAAGAGAGGAAAGCAATCATCTCTATTCGCCGCATCAAGTTCTCTATTGCTTCGGTAATGGAAGAATTTGATATTCCTGAGGGAGTAGAAATTGCAGAATATCCCGAGGGTGCCGATTTTACCTCCGGCGAGGGAATTGAAGAGAGTAAATTGCTTCTTTCGGTAGGGCATCTTAACGCCCTCCGGTTCCCTCTTCATCCCTTCTATCATTTAGTTTTCAACAAGTTAGGTCTTGCCCCCCTTCAGGTAAATCCTAATTTCTTTCGCATCCTTTCGGCACTGTTGGTGCGCCGAAAATTAGAGGCTCTGGATTTGACCTTTGCCGACCTTCTGCTTACTTACAATATATCTAAGCATGGGACCGAGCCTGGTCGCTTCTTTTTTACCTCTCCCCTTCATCAGAGGATATGCACGAACCTTCCTTCATCCGAAAAGAAGTGGAAAGAAAGGATGGTTATAGTTAAAGGAAAATGGTTCGTGCCCCAATCAATTACGCTCCCCATCCCGCGCAAGTTCGGGAAATTAGGTATAGAATACTTAACCTCCCTTCATACCAAGTGTTCTGGCTGTTTTCCTTGCCAAGTCTTAATGTTTCGCCGTACTTATGAGTTTCTTGGTGTTTTTTCAGCTACATTCCCATCCTCCGCAGCAAGGAACAGACTTTCTTTTCTTGAGGAACAAGTCTGGAGTGACCCCTCGCCTATCGAGGACCTGCTAACTTCTTCAAACCTCAAGGATATTACCTCCAGTGCTGTTGCTGCAAACCTCATGGATCTGTCTCTACCATCCTTTGACAGTTTCCCTATGACTAAGGAAGAGATACGGAGGGCTGAGGCTTTAAAAAAGAAAGCCTAAGATGCCCAACCCTTGGTCGTTATTAGATCTACTGAGGGTGAGGTGGAGGCTAAGGAACCACCAATGAAGAAATCTCGCCTCAACCCCCCATCATCTGGCAAGAGCAAGGTCTCTTCTAAAAGCAGAGGGAAAAGGGCTGGAGAGGCCGAACTTGAAGATGAAGTCAGGGCATTTGTTCTGGCTGAGACTGGGGCTCCTTGGACTCCTTCCTTCACCAGGGCTGACAAGTCAGTCCTGCATTCAGGGGATTTTGTGATCACAGACCCTTCAGCTGCACTGGCGGTGGCTCGAGGAATGTGGCTCCCAAAGGACGAGGAAGCCATCAGCCAAATAGGGTTGGAACAACTACTCCCCTCTGCCCCGGTCCGGGCCATAGAGGTTCGCATTGCTCCTTCAGAATTATGTTACTCTTGCTTGCTTATGTTTCCATTTATGCTCATATTTATTCTTCTGTTATACAGAGTCTATACCACACCATGGCCCTCTGCGCCACTGCTGAAGCCCAATCCTTCTCCATCAAGAAGCTGGAAAAGGATCTTGACAATGCAGAGAAGAGAGCCACCACTGCCTCTACCAATCTGAAAATAGCTTCTGAAGCCAAGGATGTGTATAAGAGGCAGTTGGCTGCCTTTGAGGCTAAGGTGGATTCTCTTTAGGCCGAAGTTCAACGCCTGACCGAGGCTCTTACTACTTGCTTCAAGGCGGGGAAGCAAATGCAGGGGCGTTACTCCTGTTTGGCACACCTGGCTAGTGC